AAAATAAAATAAAATAAAATTAAATTAAATTAAATTAAATAAGATCAAATTAAATAAAAAAATATATATAAACTTAACTAAAATAAAATGAAATATAAATAATAAAATAAAGTTAGAAAAATTGAATTAAATTCAATTATATTGAATAAAATAAAAGAAAGTATTAAAAAAATAAAATAAATAACTTAGGATAAAAAACACATGTTTTTCCAACAAATGAAGGGACCTACAGTTCATATTATTTTATGAATATGCTCCGGTCTTGCAAGCTTTTGTAAGTCACTTCATTTTTGAATATAATTTTCCCGCACTACCTCTCTCGGCCAGCTATTTAAGCTTTCCTCACGCGTTCCTACTCTTGCTTTTTTCGTTAACAGATGGGTCTTGCTTCCCCCTTCAACTGTAGGTATTTCTCCCACATAGCACGCGCTGCAATGCATGCAATCCTTTTTCTTTCGACTGCAGTACGACAATCCCCATCGTAACAGCTCTTCTCTTGACAATTGTCGAAAACTATTAGTCTTCTTAGCAGCTACACGCGTTCAGCTCAAAAAGCAGTCTTACAGCATCCTTATAATGAGTTGGTGATAAGTGCTCTCATGGCGCAGAAGTGCAAATCGAATGTGTTTGTTAACGAGGTTTTTTTAGTGATCCGAGTCGATGTTAGATCCACGAAACGTTTCCACAATTAGGACCCTTGCGATATATCTTTCGCCTATCACAACATGATCGATTTAGTTGCGCGATTTTCAATCCGTTGGAAGCCATGATACCATCGACCTTGTGACTCAATAGGTAACGCTTATAGGTGCGTTCTAGACGCATATATAATGTATGATGTCTTTGATCACATTGTCCTCCTTTTTCCTCAAGGGCGTGGGCGTAGTTCAGCGAAAAGTGAAAAAACTTCGTTTTTCTCCGGGTTGAATGCCAGTTCGCGTTGAGTGAATCCCTCTTCCTCTCCAATTGCAACATCAAATTTGGGTTCCTTTATTTTACCGCTGTAGAAAATTTCACAAATGTACATTTTTTCGGGTTCTTGTACCGTCCATCGTACAGCATGGTCGGCTGTGATGTCCATTTCAATTTTTACGAGCACATCAACCAGCTGGGCAACGACACCTTACCATCAAATCGTGATACTTAAAAAGTTTTCAGTGGTCGAAATTGAAAAGAGGTCGCCTTCTTACTTTACCTCGCCTTCGCGTAGTTTTCGGTTACCCTGAAGATACTTGGTTCGAGAGCGGAAGTCGTAAGCTGTTTTTATGGTACAATATGTAAAATAATAATGAGGTTACGAGTATTAATAACAGCTATCGAGACAGCTATGGATATTTCCACCGAACTTCTGTGACCTTTAAGAATTACATATGAATTTTGATCAAGTCTCTTCAAGCATCAAATAAAAAATAATTTGAATTTTGCTTCAGCAAGCTTGATTTTATTTAAATTTCCAACATTATTTTATGCATGCATTATATGTATGTATGTAGATCTGAAATAAGCGAATATATTTGTTTGCTTAGTTTTTTGGTTTTTGCTTTGATTTTCGAGTCTTAAACATTTTCACTAGTAAATCAGAAAAAATTTTAGTATTAGCAATATCACTGAGAATATCAGAAAAGATAATTGTTTTTTTTTTTTTTTTTGTTAAGTAACTGTCAGCTGTGTTTAGTGTGATTTGCGTGGCGAAGGCGAAGTGCTCTGCCTTATTGGTGACTTTTTCAAATTGATGAAGCCCAACTCATTATCGGGTGACGGCGAAGATGTTGCGCCAGAATTGCGTCTTGACGATGAGGTGGGCCGCACGTTTGTGTCCAAATGACGAAAACTAAAAACAAGAAATGAAAAGAAAATAATTTGCGAAATATTAGTAATAATTTTGATACGCGCTGTGCAAAAATCATATGTGATTGTGTAAATTTCTCAAACCACTCACCGCAATGAAACATTACTCTTTGCACCACCCTCATCGTTATTGCTATTGAAGAGAAAAGCCAATGGCCAGGAAATCCAGGTATTACGATCCGTCGATGCTTGAGTGCGTATTATCGGATTTCTGCTGTTGCCTACCACCGGTGATGTAACATCTAGCGACATATTCGGTGTGCCAGCCTTATTGATAGCCGGATTATAGATCTTCGGGTCACTGACCATGCGTACGAAGAATGAACGTTTCTTAGCCAGTGTGTCCTCCTTCTTGCGATTAATAATCTCAGAGAGTTCATCATGTTGTTCCTTCTCCAACAATTCATTAGCAAAGTCGACTATGGTCTCCCAGGCATAATCGATATCATCTTCGCTGGCATTTTGGGCGACCGCACAGAAACGTATTATATATTTATCGTTAACACTAGCCGGTACCATATGTAATTTGCCTGACTCATTGATGGTACTCAGCAGTTTCTCATTCAATTTATCGTTGCCCTTCAAACGGAAGCAGACCAAGCCAAGCTGTAAGGAAAAATTGACTAACTTTTAATATGCTTCATATGTACACACATATTTAAATATAATAAAATAAAAAAAATATTGATACGATTGAAGATAAATTGTGGCTATAAATCATAGAAAAATGTAAAAGATGAGTGGTTCAAAGGAAATCTGGATTTGGTAAGATGTGACTTCATTCGCCGGTATGACTCATTGCGCACTCGCGGAATGTTTGTGCTTTATATTCCGTTTAGTTCATTTACAATTAAGCCTAAATAGAAGAACAAATAAAAGAAAGCTAACAAATAAACCAGTTTAAATGTAAGTAGCTTAAGGTTAGGGACGTAATTTTTTCTCTTCACGAAGCCATTGATTGAAGCTTTTTTCGGTTTATGAATCATCGTGAGGAAGCATATTGAGTGCTGGTTAATAAATTCTATGAATACATTTTAGCAATGAATTCCTTCGTGATGCAGATTTTCTAATGAAATCAAATATTACCTAAGCTGGTTAGTCCATATGGACTATTTTTGTTTTCAAAAAAGTATTTTTTATTGAAAATATCGGGTTGGTCCAAAAGAAACCATATTTAATTTTTTTTATTTCCTCAAATGGAAAGAAACCATACTTTACTATATTATTTCCTTAAATAAATGAGGCGCAGGTTGCTAAAAAGTTGCATAATTTGTATGGTGATAAAGCCTTAAAAGAAATACAGTGTCGAAGTTGGTTTGTCAAATTCCGTTCGGGAGATTTTTCACTCAAAGATAAGCCAGGTTCAGGTCGGCCTAGTGAAGTTGATGATAAGGATATTAAGGCTTCAATCGAATCGGAGCGTTATGTAACTGAACGTGAGATTGGAGAGAAGTTAAGTACACCAAATTCATAATCATATACGACGTCTTGGACTGAAAGAAATTCATTTACCAAGACGCTTAAACGCTTGCGGCATTCATCTTAAACGCAATGAATATGATCCGTTTTTGGACCAGATCATAACTAGCGATTAAAAATGTATTGTTTACGATAACATCAATCGAAAACGATGAAGCGCCACAAAACACTTCAAAGACTGACGTGGGATTGGAGGGATGCGATATATTTTGAGCTGCTTCTAAAGAACCAAACGATTTACTCGCATTTCTAATGTGAACACCTGGACAAATTGAATACATCCGTCAACGGGAAGCGGCTGGAATTGGTCAATCGTAAAGGTGTCATATTCCACCAGGACAAGGCTAGATCGCACACATTTTTGGTTACTCGCCAAAAACTGAGAAAGCTTGGCTGGGAACTGTGGATGTATCCAGCATATAGCCCAGACCTTGCACCGTCAGACTACCATATGCTTCGATTTTTGCAGAACACATTAAATGGTAAAACTTTCGAAAATGACGAGGTTATAAGATCCCACTTGGTTCAGTTTTTTGCAGATAAAAGGCAGAGGTTCTATGAACGCAGAATAATGATGTTGCCGGAAAGTTGGCGAATTGTCATCCAACAAAACAGAAATTACATAATAGATTAAAATTCGTTATAAAATAGCAAAAAAAAAATTTTTTTACTTTCTTTAAAAAATTGGCTGTTTCTTTCGGGGCAACCCTATTAATTTTCCCATCTTTATGGTAGTTTTCGAATACCCTATCTAAGATATGAGATATCTATGCCAATCATTGGGTGACCTCAAAATCGTTTTGCAATCATCGAAACATCAGTGGTCGGAACGAGCAAGCTCTGGAGAATTCGGTGGGTGGGTAATATGTGCCATTTCAGCGTTTCCAAGAAGAGTCTGAGCATTAAAGCCACGTGGGAATGAGCGCTGTCATGTTGCAAATAACACCTTGTCAAGCCGTGCGGTTCTTCTCATAGTTTCCGGCTCATGTACATTAGTTTCAGACGCTAACGTCTCGCTTCAATGGTTTTACCTAGTTTTAACAGTTCATAGACAACAAACTCGTCTGATCCCACCTGAGCGCTCTTTGCCTCCCACGTTAAAATCACCACCTCTAAGGGGTCGACACTACTCACTGCATGATTTATCGATCGGCGCAGCCTCAACATAAACATCCACAAGTATTCGATCAGCTTCAAGGATATTTTTTGTTCGAATTATTATATAAAATCAAAACACGAATCCGGACATTTTCGAAGAGGCAAAAAACAATGTTGTGAAATCTTTAAAATGAAATAGATAAACGCTTCCAAGATCGGCCACAAATTGCAGTTGGAGCCATCTTTTTATAATGGGCTGAATTAATTTGTACAGCCAAAATCATAAGTTTGTCTAGGACCAACAACCAAAATTAAGAAAACAAATTTTTAATTGTTTTTTCCCAGCACGTGTTCTGTGAAAGTAAGGCTATAATGGTTGTTTGATTTTCTACATAAATATGTATTTTCTTCCTATTAAGACCTGCTCCCAGCAGTAGCTCTACCCTCATTTCTATAGCAAATATATCGGTTTGGGAGATAATTTAAGTTATTTAGTTGAGCGCAGTAAGCTGCAGTCCTCAGTCCGCCGCAGAGTTGTATATGCGAATTCCAGTTCTTCGACTCAGCCATTCGCTGACAGTATCTTCCCGAACGTCAGTCTATTTGTATATTTACGGATAATGCTAAACTAACTCGCGGTAGTTAGGAAGGCTCTGTTTTTTTTTCAAGTTTGCTTTTGGTGTGCTCAAAATCCCATTTTTCATGTCAGAAATACACTTGGAGGGATCGATATGGTACCAATCACTACAAACCCTCGGCTACTGCAGCCGCCATAGGGCATATGGGTTGGCCGTAAGATAGTTGGTGAACGTTGCTGCTTGGTGGCTGATTTCTATAGCAAAAAAAAAACAACTTAAGATTGCACCTTTGATTAAAAGATTACATATTTTATCGATTCAACTAAGACAAATATTGATGAAAATTTCTGCGGGCTTACACCTAAGGTAAACTGTTTTTTCTTTTTTTTCTGTTTTTCTCTTTTTTCTCCTTTTTCTTTTTTTTCAATTTTTTTTATTTTTTTTTTTTTGTTAGAAGAGAACTCTGGGTCCTTAGTATGTTTTTTTAATTCTTCTCTTATAATCCACATCCCGAAATATAGTAATTTAAACTTATTTCTCTTTAACTACATCAGTCTACTTTAAAAACGACAACTCAAGTTATCGCAACTTCCATCATAATTGTATTTAATAAGCAGCTGTCAGTCGGTGTCACTGTCCTCTGCGCATTACCAAAATCAACAACAACACCACCAACAATTAATGCTCACTGACTCAAGTGTCCAAGCTACCTGTTTGCCCTCGCAATTCGTTTATATGCAGCAAATTCAATGCGAAACGTAATAGGCAATACACATAAGTGTATATGTATATATGTATTTATATGTGTACATGTACATAGACACATTCATACCATCAAAATCAGCATTCAAATAGAAAAACAGCTATTGAAATCACTGAGAGTTTCTCTTCTCAGCCTCTCATTGTGACTACTGACCTGGCAATTGGCTAGTCAGTCAGTAGGGTAGACAGTCGGGATGTGTGTATGTGTGTCTGTGTTGGCAAGTCAATCGATCAGGCAATCAATCAAAGAGTGTTTGTACATACACACATACATATGTATTTTTGCATTTGAACATACCTACATACAGACATAACACATTCATAAATATGTATATTTATACTGAAATAATATAAAAGTCGTCAATATTCAAAATTAGTTATAAATAAAACACTTCAATTTCGTAACGATGAACAAAAAAAAAAACAAACAAACAAGCATAACAAAACATAAAAAAGAAATCGCGTGGTCGTTGAGGGAGCCCATGAACGTCAACTAGACTTACAGGCGTTATTTTTGTAATTACATACCTTACACCTTAAAGGTGTCGTACATATGTGTAAGCTTATATTTACATACAAATATATCTATATTTTTACACTTGTTAACATATATGTATACAACCTATGTATTTAATTAATTTTTAAACGACACGGGTATGGGAATTGTGAGCGAATGAAAAAAAATCGAAAAAATCGCCGATCATGCAAGCAAACGGACTCTGAACCAAGTAAACCAAACCGAAAAAGGGTAATCATTTGTAAGTACATATTAGGGTAGACTGATTTGTCGTGGATAGTTTTTAAAATCCTTTTGGCATGAAAATTTTTTAAATTGTAAAGGAAACAAAAAAAAAATATTAAAAATAAAAGTAAATTAAATAAAACACAAAAACTAAAATAAAGAAAATAAAAACAATAAATGAACAAAAAAAGAAATAAAAATAAATAAAAAAATAATACACTAGCTATCAAAAAAAAAAAAAAAAAAAAAAAAAAAAAAAAAAAAAAAAAAAACAAAAAAAATTGCGGAATTTTTAATTTTTTTTACCCTTTTTACTATATTGATAATATTAAGAATTGGAATAGAAGTAACTCAAATCAAAATAAAATAAAATTAAATTAAATAAATTTAAAAAATTAACAAATTGATTCAACTAAAATAATGATAAAAAAACTGAAATAAAAACTAAAATAAAACAACATAAAATAAAATAAATTAATATAACATAAAATTAAATAAAAATTAAATTTAACAAATAAAAAATAAAATAAAATAACATAAAATAACATAAAATAAAATAAAATAAAATAAAATAAAATAAAATAAAATAAAATAAAATAAAATAAAATAAAATAAAATAAAATTAAAAAAATGAAATAAAATAAAATAAACTAATGTAAAATAAAATAAAATGAAATAAAATAAAATGAAATAAAATAAAATGGAATAAAATTTAATAAAATAAAGTTAATATAAAATAAAATAAATCGAAATTATATTAATTGAAATTTTAATTAAATTGGATTATGTTTTAAATAGGTTAAATGAAAAATAAAGAAATGAGACGAAATTCAAAATAAAAATATAATTAACTAAGAAATTTTAAAAATGTAGTAAGTTAACATAAAAGTGAGTTAAATTAGAAAAGGTAACTTATATTAAATTGAATTACAAAATTCAATAAGTAATAAGTAATGTAAATAAAATTAAATTTAATAAATAAAAATCTTTAATTAAAGTATAGTTAATTGTATTAAAAAATAAAATAAATAAAAATTTTGAAAAATTAAATAAAATGGCTTTATTAAAAATAAAACAATGATAACTTAAAATCATATTATTACTATTATCATTTATTAGAAATAATATAAAATATTGCAATAACGTATTCAGCATACTAGCTGCTAAGGCTTCCTAAATTAAATAAAAATAAATTAAGTAATTAAAAATGGAATTTGAATTAAATTACATACAAAAAAAATCTAAAAAACGAAACTAAGGGAAAAAATGTAATGAATGAACTGAGATAAAAAAACAAAATCAAATCAAATAAAATTATAATTAAAAAAGATAATATTATATTAAATAAATTTAAATAAAATAAAATAAAGTAAAATTAAAAAGTAAAAATCAAATTAATTAATAAAAAATTAAATGAAATAAAATAAAAAAAAATAAAACAATAAAAAAAATTAAATAAAGAATAAAATTGAACTAAACTAAACAAAAAAACATAAAATAAAATAAACGATTAAGAAAAACTAGATTTTTAAATGTTCTAAAGCGGAAAATAAAGACGGAGCAAATGTATGTACATATATATCCTGCTTTGTAAGCTTAAACGAGATATAATTTAATTGAAATTTCTTTATGTGCCATGTTTTTGTCAAAGTTGATGTCCCTCGAGCTAGTCCTTCAGACATTACGACTCGTTTTAGTTCATTTTCTCCAGTAATATTTTAGTTATAATGTATGTACATATGTACATATTACATAGTATATGTATATGCATTGTTTATTTGTCTCAAATAATTTGACCAGACCTAATGTGTATAAAATGTGATGAATTTTTTTTTAATGTAAATATGTATATGTGGGGTTTTCCATATCACGGTCTAACAAGCAAAAAAAAAAAAATAAAAAATAAAAAAAAACTTTGTTTACGGTGCATTCAAATGCGCACGAGTATAATTAATTTTAAATTTAAATTAATAGTTTTATTTTTAAACTTTATGTAAACACCAAAATTTTCGAACTATTTTTAATAATTTTTTTGTTTTGATCTTTAGATTGGAATTCGATTGTTTTGACTTGTTTTTGTACTTTTCACTGTTTTTACTCTTTTACACATTTCTGTCACTCACCTTGACTTGATTGCAAATCTCGAAGCGTTTATCTTTTAACACATGCTGTTCGAAACGTTTGGCCAATTCGATGTGACGTCGTATGTAATTCTGCAAACCGGAAATTCCATATGAACGTAAAACGAACCTATTGAAAAATGTGAAAATGTACAAAAGATATATACATGCGTACATTTAAACACTCAGTAAATAAGTTTTCATACAGAAGAGCGAGTCAGAGGAATCAAGGTTGGCGAAATATGTATTAAAATCGTTACGCAAAGATCTAAAAGGGTCGCGCATTTCAAAGTTTGTTCTGCATGAGTCCAATGTAAGGGGCCCAAAGTGTCTAGAGGATCTTAAAGGGATGGTAAAAATAAGCTCGCTAAATAAGAAAGGGTCGTTTGTAATACAGATTTTCAATTTAAGGGAACTTTTCTTGTGCTCCCCCTTCAGAATCATTCCAAGGTTTCACTGACTGACAATTCAGTCTAAACCGGTCTTGCTAATAATCTAGAAATCATCGTGCACTGTTGGAATGGTCCTAGGCTGAGGTTATGTTTGACTAGAGTGGCTCTAAATGTTGGGATGTTGATTTTATTTCGGCCAGAATGATGCTCGTTCGAATTTCAGAATTTCTCGGCTATATGCCCTCGACCTTAATGCCAGTTATCTTGGATATATCATCAAGAAAGGAGTACGAGAATTTGTCTAAAGTAAACGCAAAAGGTGTTGGTTTTGTAATTAATAGTGGGAGTTAACATACAGATTGACATTCCTTAGATTTCTGCTCACAATGACATCTAGAATTGGGGAATAACTTCTTTCTAATTGGACAAATAAATGTCAAGTCCTCGGAATATTTTAATTTGAAATAAAAAGCACCTCACGAAAACATATACGCTATTTGGAGACGTCTTTTAAAAGGCTCTCGGAGGGAAAATATCAAAACTCACACCACACATTGCAGGAATATCTCGCAGGCAGACATATCTATTAGCCTTCAGACCATGAGAGCATTGCGGAGAATGAAATAGTTAAATGAGATTGCCAATGTTTCATCCATGTGGCAACCCAACCAGTACTTACCTAAAGACTAGGTTCAAAAAATTCCGAGAGAGCTGGAAAAGAGTGCTATAGCTAGATGGGATGGAAGCTTTAACGACAAAGCACGATAATGTGCATTGGAGGCTATGGAAAGCCCATCTACTTTTCGCAAACGTTGTCTCAAAGGAATATAGGACAGTTGTTGTCCTAATGACAGGCCATAAACTATTGGCATCATACGCCAAAGGAATGGTCATTGTTCGTAGTGACAATCATAAGAAGTTTAGGGAGGCAGGCATAAAATAGACGTTCGAATATTTTCTCAGTTTCTGTTTGTTTTCTCTCGAACTCGAGCTTCGACTTCTGTACAAGTCCAAAACATATTCCAAAACTGGACAACAAAGCCCTCTCAAATTTTTCAACAAACATTTAAACCTCGCGTCTCTAGAACCAAGTCATTGTATAAAGCGTAGCAGTATAATTCAACCTAACCTAGCCGCGAACAAGTTTAGTGATAATATTGAGCATGTTAAAAATTTTTGCAATTAGCTTCGATTTTTGTTAGGAACTAGTCATGAACTGGACCCGCATTATTAGTTTTATAAATATGAAATAGCTCTAAACTGTCTGCAATAAAGAACTCAATAGCCTACAAAAAAGACCTCAAATAGTCTCAAGCTCGCCTCAAGCCGTAAGTTTTTTCACTCCGGAAACAGTTTCTAATGGTTTCTGCCGAGAAATTCTCCAATGTGTCGTAAAAAAGTTACAAAACAGTTTCATAATCGTCTTTAATATGCCATATAATGGTACTCTATTAGATCTGATTTAGAGTGAATTGTTGATGAAATCATTCCCCGTTTGTGAAATTTTTTTATAGGTGTATTTTTGTGGTGATCATTTTTCGGAATCGGCCAGATCGGTGGTCTGTATATATGATATAGCTTCCATACAACTGATTCGTTTAGATTTGTGTTTTTGGATCAAAAAGCAAAGTATTCAACAACATGAAAATGGATATTCTACACTCATTTGTACTTAAAATCATCAAAATCCAACCACTATAACATATAGCGCCCTACAACCGATCTCCCCAGATATAAGGGTTTTGACAAAAAATAACCCGTAATAAAAATATATAAGAAAGTAAATTTTGTTATTATACATATGTACATAAATTCTAAAAAAATATTGACACTGAAATTTATTGGCCTGAAGGCAAAACCTCGTTCTTCTTTTTTTCTTAATTAAAACTTGCCAGCACTTACACATATACTTATGTACCAACAGTCAATACGACACGTACATACATACCATAATTTCAATGAACGAAAACGTCGACTGAGCGGAACTCCCCAATGACGGTAGTCAATCGCAGCATCGTCATAGCAATGCTTGAGATACAATGGATCCACGACAAGCGCTGATGTCAAGCGGATTCGATCGCGTACCCACAATGTTGAACAGTCGAAATTTGTTAATAACCATTTATTTGGATTCGTATTGAATGAGTCAGCATATTCGATGCCCTGTTTAAAAAAAAAAAGAAACAAAACAATAAAAACAACAATTGTATATAGTGTTGTAGTGCTGTAAATGTCGCCTTCAAAGACTTAACACACACAACACATACCCGTTCATACAGAGTTATTAGCTTTCAATTTACCCAGCAAAGAGAATTACCTAACCTAAGAAACCCTTAAATTGGTTTTAATTGTGCTCACCTTTAGCAGCGGTTTCAATTCAGGGCAGATAAATGAGTTACCGGCATAGGCAGCATCCACATGCAACCAAATACATGGAAAGCGTTGTATCTCTTTGCCAATCTCCTCTAGGCTGTCAAAAGCGCACGAGCCGGTTGTACCGAGTGTTGTGGAGACGAAAAATGGTACTAGACCTTGTTGTTCGTCCTCCTCCATTGCCTTGAGGAATGTGAGAGAATTCAAGTGAAAGGAAAAAAATATTTCCTTGCTTTTCCTTATTATTTATGACTCACCTCAGCCAAAATGCGGCCGCGTAAGCTGGCATTTTCATCGGGCTCCAAGATGCGCAGTTTCACGAAACTAATCATGGCTGCCTTCTCAACACAGCTGTGTGCCTCCTTCGAGCAATAGGCAATCAATTTGCACAATAAATGACTCTCCTCGGAATTCGGGTGTTTTGCCATGAGACGCTTGAGCGCTTGAGCGCGTGCAGCCAACATGCTGACAAGCACGCATTCCGAGGCTGAGGTCTGGAGTTAGAGTGAACGATGGAAGCGTTAAGTTGTTTAAATTCATACCCACTTCGACTTTTCTCCTACCTGTATTACGCCACCGCCCGTGCTGCCTTCTTTTAAAGCTAGAAAGTGATCTGGCAGTCCGATAGCTTTGCCTGAGAATTGAGTTAAATATTTAATTTACTATTTTCGAATAGAAATTTCTTCGAATTTTTAACTTGCCCAACCAATCCAGCACAATCGTTTCCAACTCCGTGCAAGCTGGACTCGCTGCCCAGGAGAAGCCAATGCAACCGATCCCGTCGCCGAGCATATCGCCCAATATTGATTCGTATGCATTGCCTGCTGGGAAGTAGGCGTGGAATCTTGGGTGCTGCCAATGTGTTACGCCGGGCATTATTTTATCTTCAACATCTTGCATTATTCTACCCCATTCTTCGGGTTCGTATGGGGCCTCAGCTACATACATACATATTTGTGAAACAAATAAACATGAGTATATTTAAAGATCTTAAATATTATATCTTCAATAGAAGAAATATTTTCAAATAAAATAAAATTAAAAAATTAAATAAAAAAATTAATTTAAAAATAAAATAATATTAAAAAAAATACAATTTAAAAAAATATGAAAGAAAAAAATAATAAAAAAAAATAAAATTAAATAATATAAAAAAAAAAAATTAAATGAAATAAAAAAATTAAAATGAAAAAAAATATAAATAAAATAAATTAAAATAAAGAAATTTAAAATTAAATATTATAATATAAATTAAAATATAGTATGATAAAAAGAGGTAAAATAAAAAAATAAAAAAGAATAAAATAAAATAAAATAAAATAAAATAAAATATAATAAAATAAAATATAATAAAATAAAATATAATAAAATAAAATATAATAAAATAAAATATAATAAAATAAAATAAAATAAAATAAAATAAAATAAAATAACATAAAATAAAATAAAATAAAATAAAATAAAATAAAATTAAATTAAATTAAATTAAATTAATTTATATTAAATAAAATAAAAAAATAAAATAAAAATTAAATTAAATTAAAGTAAGGTAAAATAAGATGAAATAAATTACTTCATAATGAAATAAAACAAAATAGTTTAAGTAAAATAAAGTGAAATAAATTAAAACATATTTAAGTTATATTTCAGGGTCTCCCGCTTCTTAAGAATTCATATGTACAAACATACAGATGTATGTACGAGTATACAACCTTAATAAAGTTTATCTAACTGACACTCACTTCTCACCTATGACAACATCAAAGAAGAGAATTTTACGTAACAAAATTCAATTGTGGCATTTTCTTTTAATAAACTAATCTTTCTATATAATATATGTAAGTGTTTATTTAAGGAAAATTGCTTCCGTCATAGGAGCATTTTAAATAAAAATTCTGTCTATTTATAACTCAATCAAAAAAAGTCAATATTTAATTGTGTATATATTAAATTAGAACAGAGTTAATTTTATATCAAAAAATTTATAAACAAATAGCTGGAAGCAACTCGTGTAATATACGTACACGTGTAGCATAAGCAAATTTTGAGATAATAGTATATTTTCGGCAAAACAATAATATTTGAATAATACTGGGCAATAATAAAAATCAATCTGAATAAGAAGAAGGAAGGTATAATATTTATTATTTATTGATTTAAGTTTTTAGGAAACTCTTGAAGTATTTGTGGAAATTAGTCTTTTAAGTGGGTCTAACGGGTTAAATAAAAGGTTTTGGAATTTTTTCCTCATGAAATGTTATTAAATTTTTCAACTTTTTCTTTTATTAAGATGTATAAAAATGTATTAAGGTGTTGAGAAGACCATTAAAAAATTAAACTTTTGAAAATTATTTGAGATTTTTTTTCTGCTGAAAATAATAACAAAGTCCAGCTGATTTGAATTGTTTTTAACTTTTCCCACAGTGTAATTGCTTGCAGAGTGCATAATGTAAAATAAACAAAATTTAAAAAAAAACTAAAAATAAAATAGTAAAACATCAGAAAATTTTCTATTTTATTTTAATATTTTTTTATATTTCTTCTAACCATTTTCATTTGAAATTTGAATTGATTTTTTTCAGTTTAAGTTAATTTTATGGTATATTATTTATTTTATTTTAGTTTATTTTACTTTGTTTCATTTCTTTAAAGTTATTATTAAAAATTATGCTTTCCTTTAATTATTTTCGTTAATTATATTTCATTTTATTTATTTTGTATTATATTAAAATGTATTAATATTTAATTTAATTTATTTTATTTTATATTTGAAAATGTTTAAAATAATATTTATGTTTGATTTAATATTTAATTTATTTAATTTTCTTTTATTTCTTTTCATTTCGTTATTTATTACTTTAAATTTCGTTTATTTTAAATTCATTTTTAATTTTATTTTTATATGCATTTATTTATTTATTTAATTTTTTTCCTTACTTTATCAAATTTTCCTATTTTATTTTATTTTATTTCATCTTATTTTATTTTATCTTATGTTATTTTATCTTATTCATTAATTTAATTTTCTGTTTGATTTTTCTTTTTACACAATTTTCTACACTTAATTTATTAATTTAATTTTATTTTAGCTTATTGCTTTATTACTTTTAATATTATTTACTTTATACCTCTTACCTTTATATTATATATTACTAAATTAATATCATAATTAAATTTATTAACCGTTCATTTTAATTTGTTTTTATTTTTATTCGAATTTTATTTACTTTTCGTTTAATTAATGTTCCTTTATACTTTTAGTTTATTTTGTTTATTGGTTATTTTGTTGTTTAATTTTCTTTCATTTATTTGTTTTAAATTAGCATTGTTTTTTATTTTTTTTTTTTTTTTGTTATTTATTATTATACTCTTTCTTTCTTTTTTAGTTCATCTTCGTTTAAAATTTTTAGGTTATATAAATTTTTTTTCATTTTGATATTTTATTATAATTTATTATATTTTTTTTGTTTCATTTCGTTTCATTCAAATTCATTTCAAATTATTTTATTTTATTTGAGCTTATTTTATTTCGTTTTATACAAATTTATTTTGTTTTATTTCGTTTTAAATAAATCTATTTTTCAAGTTTATTTTGTTTTGTTTTATATAGAATTTTATATTATCTTATTTTAATTTAAATATTTTATTTTAAATATTTTATTTTAATTTACTTTATTTCATTTAATGTTTTTATTTTTTTTTGAATATTTCCTTTATTTTTTAAGTATTTTCTATTTTTTTTTTTATTTTTCAATTTTTTCTCTATTTTATTGAGGATTCCTTAATTTTATTTTATTCTTTTTTCTTTATTTAAAATATTTTTTTTTATTTTACTTGTTTTTTATTATTGATTAATTTTTCTATTAATTTAATTTCTTTTAGTTTATTTTATTTCACATTATTACTTTTTCAATTAATCATATATATTCTTTATATACTCATAAATCGTTTTTTTTTTTTAATTTGCCTTTTTTTAATTTAAAACCAAAAATCCACAAACTTACAGGGGATTAAGTGCCTAAGATATCCAGGTTCAACACTTGGTGTTACGCGCCGGTCCTTAAGCGTCTCCATATATTTGCAAATGTATTCCACCATTTCGGTGCCATGTTTACGAAATGCTTGACTATCCATAGTTGGTTAAGCGTTGAAAGCTTGAAACTATGAAAATAAGAAAAACCGTAAAACATAAATACAAACATTTACTGAACGTAATTTGAGGTTGATTTAGAACATTTATACAAAATTATGATCATTTTATATAGTTTTTACAGATTGAAACTGATATTTTGGTAAATTTGCGCAGAAATTTTCTGCTATTCAATTTTTTATTTTTTTTTCAAATTTGCAAAAAAATATATTGTTAAATCAAACACATAAATATTTACACAAATTTTGTTTATTTACTTTTGTACCTGTTTGTGTAGTATTTAACATTTTTTCACATTTTTCCGAATTTATTTTTTTTTCGCAAAAGAATTTGTTTATGCACTTGAAATTGTCTACAAAGACACATACAACCATTTTCTTCATATGTTTGTATGTTGGGTGCATAATTTCGTTAGATATGTGATTTCTATAATTTTTCATGAAGTATTTAATGCACACATAGGTGTGTATGTGCATGTGTATATAGTTTTTGCCACATTTGTTTAAATAAAGAATTTGTATCAAAGTAAACGGTTATTCAGACAAGGTATCTTAATTATTTAAAGCATGAATACACATTTTTACATAGAAATCTATTCGCTCAGCTAGCAAACTGAAAAAAATAGAAGAGAACCATGTTATTGTTTTTGTTTTTTAAATTTACGTATCAAACAAAAAAAAATATTAGCTCAGCAGGTTTGAAATTTCTAAGCTCTGTACTCTATAATTATTTATAAATCATTCATGCTGGTTCAGTAGTTTTAATAAATTTTCTTTAATTTTTCCTCGCTTAAGCAATTTTTTATCTGTTTTTTTATTTATTTTTGATTAAATTTTTTATTGTACAATTTTGAGATTACAATGGTGGTGCGTTAAGTTTATTTCACTTTAGATTTATTAATTGTGCTACATTAAAGAATTTGCAGCATTGATATAATAACGAAACTATTTATTCGGTATTTCCAGTCAACAGGTTGCTCATACGCCATGACCAAATCAACACTTTATTTCTAATCTATTGGCATATTTATGGATTTGACTTCCATTTATAATTAAACATTTTCATTGATTTTGTGTTGTACTTCAAAAAATTCCATAATTTTTTTTTAGCTCTTTGCGAACGTAAAAATTATTAAAAAATAATTAATTATTTGCTTGATTATTTATTGGATTTTTTATTCAAACAATTCCAAGTACAAATTCAAATCAATTCAATTTGTGTAAACAAATGTTTTTTTTTTAAGTTGAGTTATATAACGAGTAAGCCAAAAACATTTTGCATTGAAAAATATTATAAAAAAGGCTGAAAAATATTTTTTAATGATTTTGTCTTCATTTAGATGTCACAACATTCCGTTTACTGATGACAACTTCATGCATATCGCAAGCGCAGCTGGTCTTGCAGTAGTTCATTTTGTTCTCTCTGTTGATCCAATTTTTCAACATATTTTCCTCTTTGAGCTATAGCTGGTATATTTTTCTTTGAACGCACTGGGCAATGTTTTGTCCGAGTAGAAATTTTTGTTATTTCGATCAAATTTTGTGCGTAATTTTCTTGCAGTTTGGGTTGAAGACTCCTTGGTTCGGAAGTAAGTTCGCCAAAAACAGAACTTCTTTTTAGTATCTCTGTTTGTACAATATCTCAAGAATATTATCTATATTTTCAAGACGGTACGGATCAATGTTTCGAGAATATAACCTTGGGAACTTTTCACGCGAGCAAAGGTAGTTAGAGTCAGCACTTTAAATTTTAAACGAGTTTACTCCAAACTGTATTTTCAAAAGTTCGCTGTCAAAAGTTGACGATAATTATTCAACCGTTTTTAGACGACGAGTTAGACGACTGATTGTTTTTCAATCGCTGCAATTATTTAAAGAAATAATGTTAGAAATGTTCTACCAAAACATTTCATTTTTCTTTGCAAATCTGCCAAAAATTTTATTTGGACTTGGTTATTTTCATTCGTCCATTTTCTAGCTTATGGCACTAAAAGTCGATTTTTTTCACTTCGGTTGATCCTGTCATGGGTTTTACTGTCGAGGGAAGGATACACTTTTTTCCGCTGGGGCTATTTACAGAGACACAATGGAAATGTTATGAATATTTCCTTCATAGGAATTTTATTTTTTTAGACTTATGTAATCATTAATTTTTGTTTTTGCCAAATATGAATTTTATCAAAATTCCTTCAATTTTATTTATTTCATTTTATTTTATTTCATAATATTCTGTTTTAAATAAAATTTTTTCCAAAATTAAAAGCTTTATTGCGATAAAGTNCTGATTTATTATTATATTACTTTATTTTATTTGATTTTGCACCACTTTTATTAAATTTAACTGGTATTAATTATTTTATTTTATTGTATCCTTTTTTTGGATTCATTTAGATTTTTGAATTAATTTCACTTTATTTTTTCATTATTTTATATAGTTTTATTTGACTTTGTTTATTTTTTAATAAGTTTGTTATTTTATTTTATTATATTTATCTTATTTCAAATTCTATATATATATTATTTTTCTATTCTATTTTAATGTTTTTTTATATATTTGATTTTATTATAGTTTATTTGTTTTTTATTTTATTTTAATTTACTTAAGTTTTCTTATTTATTTATTTCTAATTTAATTATTTAATTTATTTTTTAATTTAATTGATTTTATTTGATTTTATTTTATTTTTTGTCTTATGAAGTTTCAATGTTACATTTTTCAAATTTATTCTATTTTATTGAAATTATATTTTTATTATTATTATTTATTTTGTTATATTTAAATGTTTTCCATTTCATATTAATCTATTATTTTGTTTAATTTATTGGATTTTATTATCTGTAGCTATATTTTACATTGTTTTATTTTACATCATTTTATTTTTTCGATTTTATAAGCACAAATAAATTTTTATAACTAAATAATTTTATATGAATTTATTTTATTAGATTTTATTTTATGGTTTTTTAACTTTGTTTTATTTTATTTAATTTTTTATAACTTTATCTTTTGTTTACTTTATTTTGTTTCATTTTATTATTATTATTATTATTTATTTGAAATATAATTATAAATAATGACAATACAAGATTAAGGCAACTAGCAACGGAAGCTATCTTAATGTTGTTTCATTTTATTTAACGTTATAATATTATAGTTCATTTAATTTAATTTACTCTAGCTTATTTATTTTAATTTAATTTTATTTAGTTTATTTGAATTGTATTCTACTTTGTTTTATGTTTATTAATTCATTTAAAGCTTTTTATTCTAATTGAGTACAATTTTATTTCACTATAATTTTATTTTCTTTGATTATTTTATTTTGTATCGTCAATTAAATTTTTTTTTATTTTTTTATTTTCTTTCTTGTTTGCGTTTTCAAAGGGCTTATCATATTTACTTGTAAAAGTTTCATTGCTCGTACTTTTAATAAAATTGTCCTTCAAATTCTGTTTCGATATTTTTTTTTAATCATCGCACTTTAAGGTAGTCCTTGTAAAGTTCTTTTTTTGCTTTATTCTTTAAAATTAGTTCAACATTTTACTATTTTAGTACACATTAAATGTTAGTACTTTTTAAAATTTCCACTTGTTTTCATTGCAAAAGTTACGCTTTTCAGTAAATACTGCTCTGCTATGGAACAATTTGTTCATATATTTTAATCACTTTATTTTGCCTAAACTTATTTTAAAATAAAGACAGTTTGGCAGAACTAAATTAAAAAAAGAATACTTTCATTTTATTTGCTTAATTATTAATTATTTTTATCAAAATAAAATAATTATCAATTTTTTATCTGTCGTGTGGAACAGGTAGAGCCAAGTATATTTAATATCAGATATTTCTTTTTAATTCAATAAATATACGAAGTGTTTTTGAATATTTTTTTTAATTCTTTTATTATTGTATATTTGGATGAGAACTCTTTTTTAAATGAATGCCATTGTTTTTTAAAATATATAATATTAATTTTTAATAAAACAAGGAAAAGGAAATTTTTCTAATTTTTCCTTTCATTTTCAATTTTTTTTTTAATATTTTTTTTTAAATTTTTTTTTTTAATATTTTTTTTTTTAATTTTTTTGTTGCTCTTAAAGCATATTTTAACAACTTTCTTTTTTTACTTTGTTAAAAATAAATTTCAGAAACTAGTTTATTTTATATACACGTATATTAATATTTTTTTAATTCACATTTATATAATATATTTGCTTTTATTAAATTTTTTATTTATTTAATTTTTTTTACACATGTTAAAAACTCTTAGCAAAAAAAATTTATTAAAATCCATATCAAGTTCATTATTTGTAATCCAATTTCTGTATACACAAATTTTCTTCGATTGAGTAGGTAACTACCTTTTGTTTTTTTGAGAAATATTAGTTAGCACACTTCCGCTTCCGTGTGAAGACTGCTCGGAGAACCGTCCGAATCGCTATCTCAACCGTAACTGATCTTACGCTTGTGATTTATCCATAATATATATTGGTTTCCCTACAGATGCGTTTGCCATGCCACGCCATGTCAGTCATTCGGCATCCATCCACCACCAATCCATCCAGTCAATGCCCACCCACCAGTCAACTTCATCCAATTCTAACAATTATGGAAGAGTGTAAATAAGGGAAAAAGGTGAAAGTCAGCGAGTACATTTTTGTGTGCATCTAGTGTTTGCTAGCAGAGCTGCGCATTGCATTGTGTCATGGAGTGGGGGGGAGGGGGGTTGAAGGGGAAGGAATAAGTGAAATATTTGTTCCACAACAAACATTATACGCTAAAGTTAGTTAGTTGTTTGTACTTTGGAATGAGGCGACCACATTCATGTATATGTATGTATGTATATGTATTTATATGCTTAATACATTTACATATATATACGAATGTTTGTAGTATGTACATATTTTCGAAACGCACGTATAAGGTTTTTTTTGTCATCAAAGTTGTCCTCTCAAGCCACCATTTCTATTTGGCTTTCACCACAGCGACTCTGGTTGTTTTGTTGGTGATATTCTCTGTTTTTATGAGCACAGTTTCCCGTTATAGGGTCAAACATTTAAATAGGAAAACGTGATAATATGCTATAGAAACGCCTTCAAATCTTAATACTGAACTTTTTTACGCTTTCTCTATATTTCAATTTCTTGGCAGAAGCATACATACTCGTACATACATACATATATATATATATATATATATATTTATATATCGTATTTGATATGGTCTGCAGGCGTTGGTTGCTATGCTGCACTGCTGTTGTGTTAATTGTAATTAATTTAATGTTGTTGCAATTACTAAATGCCCTGTGGGTTATATAGATGGGATTCCAAGGATTCATAGATCGTAATTCCATCCCGCTTACGCTATAATGATTTCAAAAACTTCAATATTTTTTATAGTTCTAAAATTTTATATTTACGATTTTGTCATGTGACTTAACGCTTTTGCAGCCCACAGGGGTATTGAAAAAAAAAATTAATTAAAAAAGTATATAAAGTCTGTAATATCCTGGTTTTAACATACAAAAGACCGCTAGCTCGGTTATCGGATATTATGGAGAGCAATAAAAATAATAAGGAAGTTAAATTGTATATATATAATTGGCGGCGGAGTTCCTACTCCCATTTATTGTATGCGGCTTGATGTTTTCCAACAAATGGAGGGACCTACAATTTAGCCGCCTCCGAACGATTGATGGGTTTTTACGAGGAGCCTTTAATTCATGTCAAAAATACACACGGAGAAGTTCTCTATTCAGCTCTGCAGCTCTTATTATTTTCTCCAGCATCAAATTGAAGAAACCACACGAGAAAGAGTCCCCCTGTCTGAAACCTCTTTTAGTACCGAACGGCTCGGAGAGGTCCTTCCCAATTGTGATTGCGTTTCTGGTGTTATCTAGGGTCAGTTTACACAGCCGTATAAGTTTTGCGTTGATACCAAATTCAGACATAGCGGCGAGGAGACAACTCCTTTTTGTACTGTCGAAGGCTGCCTTAAAATCGACGAAGAGGTGGTGTTTGTCGCATGGCGAATATTTGGTCAATGGTTTACTTACCAGGTCCAAGGCCACACTGATAAATTCCAATCAGTTTGCTGACGGTGGACTTTGGTCTTTTACATAAAATTCTCGATAGGACCTTATATGCGATGTTAAGGAAGCTTATTCCGTCATCGAATGGGATTTCGGGTTCACTACCTCCGAGTGTTTCATTTCCACTGCCGTTCAGCAGGCTGGAAAAGTGTTCCCTCCATGAATTCAGTATACTCTGGCCATCCGGTCTTGAAGCCTTCCGTAAGTCGCCTTATCTCTTACGTAGAATTTTCGAGCCTTATCTTTGCTGGCTAGCTTCGCAAGCTCTTCGTACTCACGACCTCTTAGTTTTTTGTCTGCGAATGCGTCTTGCTTCTCTCTTCAGCTCTCGATATCTATTCCACCTGTTTTCTCTCCACTACGGTTAGACATTCCATGAGTACTCTCTGAAAGTAGGTAAGCAAGCCGAGTAGAGAATTGATCGGCAGTCTGTTGTGATTGCAGCTTTTCGATGTCGAACCTTCCTTGTTTGTTGTTGTATACTAATTTTTTTTTGATACATAGAGGTGTGAGCGTATATTCGCTGCAACACGATAGTGATCTGAGTCGAGAACACTGTAGACATGTCATGTAGACATGTCTTCCGTCTATCACAACATGATCGATCTGGTAGCTTGGTAAATTTTCTTGTGCTGGAATCTAGTGCTGCATATACTGCTCTAAAGGAGACTACTGCCTTAATAAACAAAATTCTGGACTTGCAAGCCATTGTTGAGACACCGTTACATCCTCAACTAATCTCTCCTTGTTGAGATCTATTGGCAGAAGGAATAATTGGTTCCAATTTTTTCAAAAATTAAACCGGGTTTAATGTTATAGTCAATAGGCAAGGCTATAGAGTCAAGTTTATGTGGTTGACCTTTTGTTCCAACAGCCAACGAGAACATCAATTTATTGAAGTAAACTTTTGGTGAGCGCACTATCTCGAGTCGTGGGCTTGTGTGGGGGGCCTCCAAGATCTTGAGGGGCAACACCGCTGTATGATATTTGGCATTAATTCATTTTAAAATATGATGACGGACCTCTTATTTACATACAGCTTAAACCACTGCCCGGAGAGTACCTGAAACTTGGTGGTTGTGTTCTCTGTATGACGCATGCGCCCGATAAACAGGTATTTACGGGAGCTAATCTCGGACCGAAATATTTTAATTTATTAACGTACGATCTATTCTTATTAGAACCATCTGGGAATTCCATGCGGACGAAATCGGACAAACTCTTTACCATAACCTCAAACTGGGGGCGTTTTATTTTTATTTGAATAACATCGGTCTAAATATATATTTATTATAAATATTAATTTTTTTTTTCATTTATATTTACTTACTGAATCTGCTTCAATATCAGAAGCCTCACAAGAAGTTTTCAAATCTTGAAAACTGCGCTCAAATACGCCTGTAAGTACGCCTGTTATATCTAGATTTGTCGAGCAATTTTAATTATATTTTTTTTTTGTTATGCCAATTCAATACATTTCGTTATTTTATAAAAGCTATTCAATTTATTTATTCCTAATGTCAGCTTTTTCTTGTGCATTTTCTCTCCAATTTTTCATTAATAAATAATTAAAAAATGAAAAAAAATAAAATAACTGTACAACTTTGCTTCCGCCGTTTTCCGATAGGGCTGGTTGAAATACATAGATGATAATGCCTTCAAAGCGAGTGTGGACAGTGCCTAACGAATTGTCATCGCCGTTTCAGTGACAGTTGTTCTTGTTTTCGTATTATTCACGCTCGAAAATGTCCGTTTATGTGCCTAATTCTCGCCATTTGTGGGAAGTTTTACTTTTCTGTTACAATTCGAAAAAAAATGCAGCTGAAGCGCATCGAATGCTCTCAGAAACTTACGGTGATGCTGCTCTGAGTGAAAGAACGTGTCGGGAGTGGTTTCAACGAATATTCACGACGCCAAGGTTATGATTTGTATTTGGTGGGATCAGCTCGGTGTGCTTTACTACGAGCTCTTAAAACCGGATGAAACCATCACAGGAGATCGCTACCGAACGCAACTGATGCGCCTTAGTCGCGCGCTAAGAGAAAAGCGGCCACAATATCAAGAGCGACATGACAAAGTCATCCTCCAGCCCGACAATGCTCGGCCTCACGTCGCAAAAGTGGTCAAAAACTACCTGGAAACGCTGAAATGGGAAGTCTTGCCCTACCCGCCGTATTCCCCAGATGTCGCCCCTTTTGACTTCCACCTATTCCGTTTGACGGCACACGGCCTGGCAGATCAACATTTTCAATCCTTCGAAGAAATGGAAAAATAGATTGCTTCATGGATAACGTCAAAAGATGACTCCATTTTTCGAGCCGGTATCCGAAAATTGCCGGAAAGATGGGAGAAAGTTGTCGCTAGCGAAGGACAGTACTTTGAATAATATATCTGTAAGCACTTTTTCGGAATAAAGCTTTTAATTTTGGAAAAAAAAACGGCGGAAGCAAAGTTGTACACCTGATAAATTACTCAATAACTTAATTAATTAATCAATTTCACTCTCCATAACCGCCATGGACACGCTGAGGTTGGAGAGACTTTTCAACAATAAATTTTGAGTTTTCGAGGCCCAGATGCGACAGTTTTGCTTATTGACGTAGCCATAGATCGGTAATTAGTCAAGATGATTTCTCGATGAAATTTTTTTTAGTGAATTTTAATAACTTCATGGCATTGTTGAGCCTTGTCTCGTTCCATTTTTATTATTGGCGTAGTTTTTACTTGTTAAATATCAAGAAATTACAGCTTCAGCAGTGACGTCTACCGGAAGAGCAGCCTATTCAAATTAACACCTCTTATTGGAAACCCCTTTATGCCCGTCGTCATACCCAAAATTATAATATAAATTTTTGAAACGTCACTTTTATGGAAAACATCCACTGCCCTAAATTTACCGTAATAGTTTGCATGAAATTAAAAAAGAAATATCCATAACTACTACCGCCCGCCCTCAACAGTCGAAGAATGTGAATTGTCTTAAGCATTTAAAAAAAAAAAATTGAAAACAAAAAAAATCCGATGAGAATAATAGTGATGATGACAACAGCAATAGGACACTTAATAAACAAGGCACGCACAATAAACACCGACAGTGAGGAAACTCTGCTGCCGGAGGTGGGATGCTCGAATACCGCAAAAATTTTTCAATAGAATGCTTGAATGCGCACTTGGAATGGAATAATTCTTGTGTGCGTTTCGGACACAACACGTATTTGCATGTGTGTGTGCGTGTGAAAGAGAATGTGAATATGAAAATATGAATGAAGGAATGAATGAGTGCGCGCGTGGCTCAAAAGGATGTACGCATATGAGCTAACTATAAAGTTAGAACATATCCTTATGAGGCACGATGATAGTTAAAGAACGCGCCGGAGGACAAACTAGTCTGCCATTTGTATGTATGTACACATGTAGTGCTTATTTGTCAATTGCAGCCTCTTTTTCGCAAATGGATCGTCTATATGTACTCATTAAGTCATATCTTTCTCTTTTAACTACCACTAACCATGTCTACTTTCTACGTTGTAGTTGTTGTTGATATTTTTTTCTTTTTTTTTTTGTTAATAATAAATTGTCGTAAATTGAATTATTGCGCGTGGCATCGATGACTTTTCTAAATGATTTGTTGTTGTTTTTGTTGTTGTCTTTATTGTTGTTTTTATTGTTGTTTTTGTTGTTGCTTATATTGTTAACCAAGATACAGCAATTTAATGGCATATAAGGCGAGAGCGAATGGCGCATTAAAACTGGCGTTGGCTGATGTGTGCGAACGGTTTCCGGAGTTTGTGTGTGTGTGTGTGTGTATGTGCGTGTGTTAGTGCTTGCTTGATATTGGTGCTAAGGAATTTTCACGCATTCTACATAAAAAAGCATATCCTTCAGTCGTTAGAGCTAACGGTACTTGTGTGTTGTTGTTGTTTTTGTTGTTTGTTCTTATCACTACTTCTATCCTTGAATGATTGAATGCGTCTGTGTGTGTTTGTGCTTCGGTGCGTATGACATATCCTTATTGCTGCCTGAAATGCGTGGCTTCGCATGTCTTCAACCACGCATTTATGTATGTATACTATGACTTGTGTGTGTGTATGTGTATGTAAATTCGATTTGAGTGCAAAAAAAAAAAAAATAAAGCGAGAATTGAAGCAATTGAAAAATGCTGAATCGAACGTCAGCATCGTCGAGAAATACTTGAAGTGAACACGCTGCTGTGGTGAAAAGTTCAATAGGCCGCGCTCCATTGTCCTTAGGGTTTGTTGGAATATTCTGCCAATTTCTTCAGGCACACTTTTTTTTGCCTCTTATCCAATTAACAAGCAATTTCGTAATTAAATAGGCAGTTATAAGTGTGTGTGTGTGTGTGTGTGTGTGTGTGTTGAGCAAATTGTATTTTAGTTGTATTAAATTAAATTGTTTGCCTTAGGTTATGTTCAGCTGTAGACTCTTTTGTTGTAGACATATTTTTTGTGCTAAAAATATAATTGTTTGAATATATCACTTCAATTTTCGATGGCTCTTTCGGGGGAAATTATCTTGCAAAATTCAATAAGAATCTTGCTATAAATAGATTTTGCAAGGAATAAATTGTACTGTATATTGTTTGAGACTTTTGTTGGAAAAATGTTGACTTGAGGTATTTCTGATTAGTTTTTGTTTTGTTTGTTTTTGTGCAATTAAGTTGCGTATACGCCGTGGTGTACTAAAGATTGTTTTATCACGAGCAAATTTCATTTAAAGATTAACTGAATTTATTCGCGTTAAAAACGCTCGTTTTTCAACAAAATTTTTATAAAAAAAAAAAATTTTTTTTTTTCAGACTTTTCTATCTTAAAGTTATACATTTGAAAACTAAATTCTGTAATTTTCAAAAGAAAATACGAATATTCCGGTGATCCCTCGGAAAAAAGTAGCATCAGCGTTAACAGTAGAACTCATGAAAGAAGCATCCGAAGTGAAAAAATCGTGTTTTAGTACCATATACTAGAATTCGGACGAAAGAAAAAAGTCCAAATTGGATTTTTGCAGACTATTTATAACAGAAAAATCAAAGAATTGGAGACTACTATTCACATGAGAGGATTCAAACCGATTCTTTTACATGTGACTCGAACGGCTCTTGCTCTGGGTGGCCAACAAAAACATCTATTTGTAGGTGAGCTAAAGTGAATAGGTGAATTGCTTGGTATTCTTCATAGGGTTTAGGATCCACCACTTAAAAAAATCCGCTCCAATGAAAAACATACAATAAGACTTAGACGAAATACTATTTAAACATTTTAACGATCAATAAAGGCGATGGATGGGTCAAGGTCTCTGTGTAACAATTTTAGTACACATTTCACCGACATTGATTCATTTGACTCGCTTTTCTGTATCTAAACCTACTTACTGAGTGCCTCAAATAATTAAGTATTTTCCCTATCCTTTTCTCCATGCAATTTTATAGCAGCTAATCAACAAATCTGTAGCTGTTTGGTGTAAGAGGCAAGTGCAGCAGATGGGTTTCGGGCTCAGGGCAGACCGGACTGTTACTAGTTTTCGGCCACCGGTCTGTTGAATTTTTCGATAATCCCTCAGACGCGCCTCTAAGTAGGTTGGGCGGGAGGTGGGTAACGCTGGGTTCGTCGTTAAAAAAAGGAGGGCAGGTCCTTGTGAAATCTATTAAAACGGTCATATGGGATGAGTGCATAAGTTCGTGCCCGATTTCAAGTGCAAACTAAAATTGAAATTTTTTGAAGAAAGCGCTTTTATTAATCAATTATGTATTCGCCATCATGTTCGGCAATCCACTCCCAACGTTCAACCAATTTACGGATGCCTGATTAATAGAAATCGCGCGGTTTCTCGTTGAAAAAGGTGTCAAGGTGGTTTTTGACGTCTTCCACATTTTAAAATTTTTTGCCATTCAAATTGTTCTGCAGCGATCGAAACAAATGATAATCAGAAGGTGCAATGCCGGGTGAATATGGGGGATGCGGCATGATTTCCCAATTCATCTCCTTCAGTTTGGCAGGGTCGGTTTTGCAACATGTGGCCTGGCGTTGTCATGATGGAAAAGAACTCCTTTGCGATTGGCCAAAATCGGACGTTTTTCATCAATTGCTTTCTTCAATTCAACCAATTGCTGACAATACTTGTTGGCAGTGATCGTTTCTCCAGCTGGCAAGAGCTCAAAATAGATCACGCCTCGGATATCCCACCAAATGCACAGCAGTATCTTCATCGGATGCAATCCACCTTTCGACATCGGTTCCGCCCCTTCGTGTGCCTGTTTCCATGTTCTTTTGCATTGAACATTGTTGTACAGGATCCATTTTTCATCACCAGTTACGAGCCGATCCAAAAAAGGTTCGTTTTTGATCCGTCAAAGCAAAGAAATTGCTGTTGACATAAAGTCCTTAGAACATCGTCATCAAGCTCAGAAGGCCGTCCACTGCGAGGTTGATCTTCGAGGTTAAAATCTCCAGAACGAAATTTCGCGAACCATTTCTTTACTGTGCACTCCGCACTGGAGCACGGTCTAAATAAACTTCGCGAATATCTTTAGTTGCAGCGCCTACTGTTTTTCATTTGCGGAATTCGTATAACATAATATGACGTATATGATCTTTTCCGTTGTCCATCTTCCATGCGTCTTTTCACTAAGCAACTCAAATCAAAATGAAGTTATTTTATGCTTGATTTACAGTTCGGACTGTCACCTTTCCAACGATATATAATATGTATATATTTCTTTCACGAGCGCCACTCTCAAACGATTTGAACGGCATCGGAATCGGGCACGAACTTATGCACTCATCCAATATAAAGGTGGTGTTAGTTTTGTAGTGGTGGTAGGGTGAAATCTTTCGCCGAGTACTGCCATTTACACCGGGTAGTACGTCTCAGCACAAACCGCAGAGTTCTTCAGCATATCGCTGATTTGCACCTATGCCTCAAGTAAAAAGCGATTTTTAAGCGTTTTCAATGCATTTTTGAGCGCTTCCCTCTCCCTGCGAAAGTTTAAGCTTTGGTGATGAGACATCCTCCTCAAATGGGTTGAGGCTGATTGGCGTCAGTGGCATCAGAAAGTATGGTTGTGTGTACAACTCGATTACAGGGCAAAAAAGTCATCAAGTCACATGGCTATCACTGGACAGCGAGGATATGCACTCGACGGCGTAGCGAGATGGCGAGTCCGATTTCCCAATCAATGGATTTCAACAATGGAACGTATGGCTTATTACGCCATTATGAAGAATCAAAGCTTTGGGAGCCTTTGGTTTACCTACTGTATTATTTATGTGGAAAATAGCAGCGCACCCTCAACGAACTGGCTTCATAGTAAGCGTTCCTTACGCATCGGAGATCCATCAGATTTCCATCCTGCTTTATGTTGCAGAAGTGTGAAGGATGTCGACTGCCGATGGGTCGAAGTGAAGAGTTCCCGAACGGAAGATTACTGGTCCTTTGCGCATTGGCAGCGGCGTTTACCGTAGTTTGATGGAACGATGAGCAGTACGATGCAGGTCGAGTTGGATTCTTGATTAATTGATCAATCGCACATCTCTCTACATTATTTACATTTCACATAACGGTGGCGTCAATAGTTTAACGCCATATTTGCTCAAAGAGGCTTTCATTTTCTTTCCACAACCACTCGCAGATGTCCTTCGTCCTGTTAACCCAATTTTTTTTTTGTTGGAAATTGTTTTACGAATTCCTTAAACCAAATAGAACACTCAACATAGTGAAGTGAAAGGAGTAAAGAAACATGGAAACTGCATAGCTATGTACTTACATACATTCACACCTTCATTCAAATGCTTGGAGTGGAGAGGCGACTTGGCTTAATTTCATTACAACGCTGGGATTATCTGCCACGTGCGTTGATGACCACTTAAAAGCGACTGAAATGAAAAAAAATACAATTTTTTCCTCTCCCAATGTTTTATATATATATTAAATATATACTGTACACAGTATATACATACATATTTTATATTTGTATCTATAAAATTGTATTAACCAGCAGCTTCTTCTTTCAATTCTTTTTGTAGATTACAACAAAAAAAATTACAACAAAAGTAACAACAAAACCCTTAAAAGAAAATGATGCATTACCGGAAAGGGGAAAATATCGAACAGGAGTTAAGCAAGGATGATTTACCTTTTGATGATTGTTTGACAAAGTTGCCGCAGAAGGACTTTCTCTGGATGCACGTAAGCACATAATATATTATTTATACATACAGTATGTCAACTATTTGATCACATACCATTTCCGAAAACTGCATTTTGTTCTATCTTCGTTAAAATAAACTTTTAAATAAGAAAGATAACTTCACTAGAATTAATAGTGGTGAAATCGTATTTTCTATTAGGTGTACAACTTTGCTTCCGCCGTTTTTTTTCCAAAATTAAAAGCTTTATTGCGAAAAAGTGCCTACAGACATATTATTCAAAGTATTGTCCTTCGCTAGCGACAACCTTCTCCCATCTTTCCGGCAATTTTTGGATCCCGGCTCGAAAAAAGGGGTCCTCTTTTGACGCTATCCATGAAGCAATCCATTTTTCCATTTCTTCGAAGGATTAAAAATGTTGATCTGCCAGGCCGTGTGCCATAGAACGGAATAGGTGGAAGTCAGAAGGGGCGACATTTGGGGAATACGGCGGAGGGGGCAAGACTTTCCATTTCAGCGTTTCCAGGTACTTTTTGACCACTTTTGGGACGTGAGGCCTAGCATTGTCGTGTTGGAGGATGACTTTGTCATGTCGCTCTTGATATTGTGGCCGCTTTTCTTTTAGCGCCCGACTAAGGCGCATCAGTTGCGTTCGGTAGCGATCTCCTGTGATGGTTTCACCCGGTTTTAAGAAGTTTTTAAAGGTTTTGAAGGTTTTTTCTCTTCCACCACCATATTGGTCTTCGAAATCGAAATCACCATTTTTAAAACCACTCCCGACACGTTCTTTCACTCAGAGCAGCATCACCGTAAGTTTCTGAGAGCATTCGATGCGCTTCAGCTGCAAATTTTTTTCGAATTATAACAGGAAAGTAAAACTTCCTGCAAATGGAGAGAATTAGGCACATAAACGGACATTTTTGAACGTGAATAATACGAAAACAAGAACAACTGTCATTGAAACGGCGATGACAATTAGTTAGGCACTGTCCACACTTACTTTAAAGGCATTATCATCTATGTATTTCAACCAGCCTCAGCCGGTACAGCCACCTATCGGAAAACGGCGGAAGCAAAGTTGTACACCTGATACTTTTTTTTTTTATTATTCTCTTAAGTTTGGCTTTGGCATAGATGAATAAACTCAATGCAACAAAAATAGAAGAAATCAAAAGCCTTATTGATTTAAACATAAAACACCGGGAAGTTCCATTACTCGTTAGTGTTTCAGTGGATGTGTTTTTAAAAATAAGAAAGTCAAAAAGCCTTTTATGCAAAAAAATATGCCTGGACCTACGCGGTATGTCCTAAAAATAACGAAACTGTATATTTAAATCATACAACATACAGCGCCATCTATTGAAAACATTAAAAAGATACATTCATCCTCTTTCGAACGCACCTAACACCATGTAAGTCGGATGACAGTTGTAAAAGTGACAGCCATTTCAATAAAACCAAAAGTGTGCTAATGGTTCAAAAATAAAATGGAACAAAGAGTAAATATAAAATTTTGTGTCAAACTTGAAAAAAAAAATTGAATGAAAAAAGTTTATTGTGATGATTGTATGAGTCGCACGAAAGTTTATACGTGGTTTACACGATTTAAAAATGGTCGTGAGGATTTAAATGACAACCTTAGAGCAGGCCGTCCAGAAGCTAGTACTCGTGCTGAACTGTTGGAAAAAGTCCGTGAAATCATTGGTATCGATGCCAATTTTACTACGAGAATGTTGGCTGAGGAATTGAATACGAGTAAAAATACTATTTGGAGAATTTTAACTGAAGATTTGGGGAAAAGAAAGGTCTGTGCGCGATTTGTTCCACATGAATTAAATGACGACCAAAAAATCGCTCGAATTTTTAATGAAAAAAGGGATTTCTCTCATCGACCATCCTCCGTATTCGCCTGATCTATCACCAAGTGACTATTTTTTATTTTCTAAAACTGAAAACCAAGAAGAAAGGAGCATTTTATGATGATATCCCAGCCATTCAAGCAGCCGTGAGCGAGGTACTGAAGAACATTTATATAAATTACATAAAAAAATCTATGCATGCGCTGGTTGATCGTTCCAAACGTTGTGTTGAGTCAAATGGAACCTATTTTGAATAAATAATAACTTTCAAAGATAATATAATGTGTATTTTATTTTATATCCAAAAAGTTCGGTTATTTTTGGGACACACCGTGTATGTGGCTTTGAACGCCACCCTGGAAAATCCCATGGTTAGGCAGATAAAGTTTGGTGTGTATGTGTGAATTTGCAAAAATATATAAAACCTACACTCTAAATAACTGGATGCGAGTCATATAGAAATAGATTTGGTGAAAACCTCGTGAACCTTTGACTTTTGTTCAATCAACGTTGAAGTATGAGACTGCAGGGGGTTGGAGAAAGTGTAAGAGTTACCGGGCGAATGGATGCCAACTAATATGTTGATATCCTTCAACAAGGTTTGTCCAGAAGCCTAGAAATGTGGAGCAAGAAAGCATGCCATTTTTAGTTTACCAAATGAGTGTCAGAATCCTTACGATTTATGGCAGAAGGCTCAAAAATTACAGGTGAACTATTAGCGGGCGGATATTTCTGCAGGAAGGTGGTCGAGTCCATGCCCAAACGAATTGAGGCAGTAATCAAAGCAAAAGAGGGTCATGTTAAATATTGAGTAAAAAATCGTTTATGTCAACTAATCGATCAAATGTTCGGCGGGTATTTTTTTACCAATTCTAAGAAAGCAAACATGGGTCTTGAAAAAAAATTACTTCTAATTTATTATCTTAAATTGTTTTGTATATGAAATAAAATTGAAGTGACTTTACAAATAAAAAAACATTACAAAACAAAAATCTTTTTCTAATGCCCAGGTGTGATCAAATAGTTCACATACTGTATATACATATACGAGGGGATTAACAAGAGTTCGGTAAGTTGATCAGTAAAAAAAACAAAAAAAAAATCTTTTTGTATTTATCCGTAATCTTTGTCCATATTTATCTTCTCTACCTAATCGCCATTGATTGCAAGGCATTTCTTAAGCCTGAAAACAGTCTTGAACATTTCGCTTTTTAAGCTTATCTAGTTCAGCATTAATCGCATTTATTATCTCCTCGTTGCTATTTAAGACCTTTCCCAGAAATCACAAGGTGCCATAGCCGTAGAATATGGTTCTGGGCGTATTTCTTCAATCTCAGAGATCGTCATAAAATTACTCGTTATTTCAGCAGTCTGGGATGACGCTTTGTCATGATGTAAAAAGTAGCACCAAAAATCCTCTTTCTTACTGTTTTCCAACAAATTTTTGAAAAATTTTTGTAAGCACTCTTCGTTGCAACATCTTGCAGTTACCGTCTGACCCTTCTCCAGTGGAATAGCAGCTACGATTTTAGATCGGGTGAAGTAAACTGACATTATTACTTTTGCTGCTGATTTTTGTTGCTTAGACGGCTAGGTTTGCTCCTGTGGGGCTCCATACCGTGGACTGCTGTTTGGTTTCTGGATCGTACTTATAGAACCAAGATTTAGCACCAGTTAAGACTTTACTAAAGTTGCTAGACTGACCATATTCGTATTTGTTTGAGCAAAATACCTTCGAGGGCTCATTTCAAATTCGTACAGTTTTCTTCGTATATCCCAGATGACTACTTAATATTCGCGACACAGCCTCGGTATTCAAGCCCTTTTCATTAGCAATCATTTCTCGCGCCAATCGTTTTCGTCAATTTTGGACTTCACGAGAGCTACAGTGACGTCAAATGTGGAAGATTTTGGTCGACCATCTCGGGGCTCGTTCTCTAAGGAAAAATGTTGGCTCTGAAATCTTCTTCACCACTTAGAAATAATCTCTAATGATCGTTCCATATGCAATTTGGCATTCACTGAATATTTGTATTTGCTGTAAATTACGCCGAAACCCGAAGGATTTGGTAGATTTCGATTTAACAAAAACAAATTGAAACTCACCAATTGACCAAGCTTTTGTTAGTCCCCTTTTATATTTATTTATATAACTTTATGTACATATACTCGTACATATATGTACAATTGCACAAATATAAATAAAAAATACTTTAAATCCTGCTTACTTTCACTTTTCCCTTTTGGAGACAGGTTCACTTGGGGTCAGATCTGGGCGGTAGGGTGGTAAGTGATTCAAGATATCGAAGTCTACCTTATGCCAGGCAGCCAACGCAGCACGGCTCTTGTGAACGCACGCGCTACGTTGCAAAAGCGTAGCTAAATTTTCTCGTCTTTTCTCTTGAATGGTTTCTTTTACTCGCTCTAAAATTAAAGCACAACCCTTTTAAGTTATAGAAACACCTTTATGTCTGCAATATTCCGTTCGAGTTCCAAAAAAACAATTGCAACAAGTTTTCCCAGCTGACAGTGACACCTTAAACTTCTTGGGAGCTGATGTACCCTTTTTATGCCACTGTATGGAGTCTTGTTTCGGCTACGGCTTATAATGATGAACAGATGTTTCGACCCCTCTAGCAAAACGACTCCGTACACCGTCGTTCTTTTCATTGCAGAGGTCCGAAAGTTCATGTGAACATATTTTCGGCACCCACCTTGCGCTGACTACAATCATACCAAGATGATTGTGCAGGATTTTGAAAATGGTAGCATCAGATACTTGGACTATTTCTGCGAGTTGTTTCTTCTTTAGTCGAGCATCGTCGATAACAATTTTTTCAATTTTTCCAATTTTTTTTGGATTGGTGTGGTCACATGGACGCTCCTAATCGTCTTCAAGGGATTTTCTTCCTCGTTTAAATAAACTATTCCACTTATAAATCATATTTTTTACCGAACACGAGCCGCCGTAAACTAATGGCATCTCATTCATTATAGTCCCAACTGATTTTCCTTGCTCACGGGACACGTTACGATCCTAAGGAGCAAACCAATTGTTTGCCAACCTGCTGGTCAACCCCAAAGTCCGTTGCCTTCTTGATAGACCCATTTTAACGACATTCTCTATTCAGGGTGTGCTAACTAGCATAGTGGACACCATTATTTCAACATACAATTCGGCATCCATATTTGGTTATATCCATTTAACAGATCTGTACCATAGTAAGAAGAGCAGCGCCATACGTTGATTTTGGCAGCTTTATGCTTTACCGTCAAATGAAGCGTTTTATGGTCTACGTACATATTGTCCGTGCTCTCGGGAATCAAATAGAATAATTTACGTTTCGTCGTACCACAAAAAGGGTCTGTTATTGAGCCCTGGTCTGCGCATGCCGGTGTTGAAGTAAAGGCAATTTTCTTGGGCTCTTGTCGGAAAGCTTAATTTTTATTAATATTTCTACTTATGGTGGACGCAGTAAGATTAACATTTAACTTGTCATAAATTTTTTGAGGTAGGAAATGGTAGCCGCAAAGTAGCCTATTTTCCTTGTTGTTGTAGCGGTTCTTCGCCCCGCTTAGATAGTGAAACTTAGAGAGAGTGAGAGTCATGGAGAACATCTGACGTGCTGGTTTGACAGGTTCGGACCAGAGGGAATGAGGGAATATTCGGTCGACATAATCGCCCAGTAGGGTCGGTAGTTCGAGATACTTCGCACCACATTTACTCACATTCACATCATCAGACCCGTCTTACAATGCGCACCGAGGACGCAATTGCTGCTGTGGAGTAGAGTATCGAAGAAGACCCGGGTTCATCCGCCTCGCCGCGTAATAGAATTTTTTTTTTTTACGACAAACCCAGCGTTACCCACCTCCCGCCCAACCGACCGCGAGGAGCGCGTCTGAGGGAAATCGAAAAATCCAACAGACCGGTTACCAGTAACATTTTTGCGGGAGGATCTTAGTTTGCGGGCTTACAGAATCCAACTTGTGCTGAAATTGATTACGAAAACAAGTAGACCGATCCCACTTTGGTTCAGCGATGAAGTTCACTTTTGGTTGAATGGGTACATTAATAATCCACAAGCCATTGTTCAGATGCCGTCAGATTCTCAAAAATTCAATGCTACAAGCCATACAGCCAACGAGAAACATTCAATTAATCAATAATTGAAGTAAACATTTGATGTGTGTATGTTACCTCGCGTCGAGTGGTTGTGGCGGGGCCTCCAATATGGTGAGATTTAACCCTGTTGTACTATTTCTAGTGGGATATCCCTTGCCCACGCAGGTAAGAGAATCTTCAAAAGCGGCAAAAAGTGTTCGGAAATTGGGCCTCTCGACTGGAATTCATTCGAGCCAGTCGCGGTGGTCACTTGCCCCAAATCAATCTGAAAACATAATGACCGAACCCTTAGCTTTATAACAAAATTATATTCTTGCGCATAGCATTTAACTATAAGTAAGCCACTGCTACTATTTTGAACACAGCTGTACGAGCATATGTACTTACGCGTGTCTTTAATAAAGAATGCAAAATTTCCTGACATATTTATATCATTTTTGCCATCTCTCTTTGCATTTGCACAGGTACGCGGTGGCACTAAGGTACACAATGTACTGAACTATGCAAAGAATGCTCTGGACAAGGGCGAGTATCGTACCGTGGTTTGGAGCGGCTCGGGTGGTGGTGTTGTGAAGACAGTCTCCTGTGCTGAAATATTCAAGCGCAGTTTTCCATTATATCAATTGACGCGCATGGATCAAGTTAGGTATGTATACGCCCTGGGGATTGGTTGGGCCAGAGCTGACGTAAAGTGCTCAGTTAATATATCTTTACCTTGCAGCATCGAAGAGCATTGGGAGCCGCAAATGGATGGTCTGGAGCCGATTGTTGCCAAACGTAAAGTGCCCAGTCTACACATACTAATGACTTTAGATCCCATAGATGAGTGTATTAGCGAGTAAGTATTATGTTTTTAATTCACTTTCCTTTTTGCTTACTTCCGCGAGAGAGTTACAAAAGAGACGGAGAGCTTTGATATTTAAAATGACAAATTAGTGAGTGTCCTTATTGTTCTTACAACTGTGGCGACTGGTCGCTTTATGATTTCACCATAATGGGATCTATTTAATTGTATGTGAGCCTCTTGACTGAAACAAAATGGAAGACATGGCATCTCAATCGACCGTAGCCCGAACGCCAACGAATAACTTTTTGTATTTCCTCCGCTTCTGTGCATCATTCGCTCAGCTGATTTCACCTTGCCAGTTGACTATAAGACAAATGCTCTAAATAAGTGATTGGCAGACATAATGCTCCTGTGTCCGCCTTTCATTCAGACCACTAGAATTACTTTCCGCTCGATTTTCACCTAGCAAGAGGTTTACTAGGCCCAGCCGCACGTTGTACGTTTAGTCCGGATTGGCCCCAAAAGTCTATGACTTTTAGGTGGCTAAATTTTTGTTGTAGCGACATATGCTCCCCTGTCTAGGAGCAGGAAAATTAGCCTATGCTCGACCACATTTAAAGCAAAATCCAGAAAGCGAGCTGTTTTGACGGGCTCAGTGGTGAGGATGAATGGTATTAGATGAGTAGGTTTTAGTGTGCATGCTTTAGATGTAATTAGTGTCATGCGGGGTAAGGCATTCCAAATCACGTGGGTTAAGAGTTGAGTCTAATTACTCGGATCTCGCAAAGCAGCTTGAGCTTTTCATCTAATATGGATGGTGGACAGACTCCGAGAAGCTTATTGATATGTTGACAGAGTCTCTGTGAACGGAGTTTAGGTCCTGTCTATATGTCGTTCTGCTGTTCTGTGCTGCTAAATGGAGTCTTTGAGGTCGATTACTCCCTTTCAGATATAGTTAGATTATGGCTTGGCTTCCAGTAGACTTCAGCTCGAGTTTACAAAGCATAACATTGTGCTCCTTAGCTGGGGAAAATGGAAGTTCAGGGCGATATTATGGCAGATTTGTAGCTTCTCCATTAGCGTATCTCTAGTTCTGGGTGTCCATATCGCTCCATCGTAACTAATGACCAGCTACTCCGGTTGTTACGGCTTTGTACTTTGATGGCAATCGCAGTTGTATGGGGAGTGAAAGCGTGCAGATTGTCGAGTGGGACTCCCAGTTGTTGTTTTTGTTGTTATAAAGGTTTACCGACCCCGCTTAGGAGCAGGCTAGATCAGTCCTAAGTCATCGAAGTCACCTTACAGAAGGTCTAGGAAACGAGATGTTTTGATGGGTTCGGTCCAGAAGAAAAGAGTGCTTAGATGAGTTGGTTTTAGGGCGTATTACGAGCAGGGACTTCCAGTGACTTGGGGTTATTAGTTATTGGAATTTCGATGGGATACTTTCACACTCAGTTCGAACCGGTACTCCTTTGTCCAGTTGCTGAAAAATTGGCTAATCTGGAGTGCTGCCCTATACAAGTACATCCTTTGTATATTAATAGGCTGAATTTCGTTTTGATGATTCTCAAGATCTTTGTCTGCAATGCTCAGTTAACAGGTATGTTGTACTCGATCCAAAGGTTCAATGCGGCACTGCTTCCTTAGCGTCGCCCTCCATACTAGTGCTCCATACGTAAGTATGGATCTTACGGCGTTCGTGTAGTCAATACACTGTTTACACCATTTCCGATTCAGTATACGAAATTTCTACGATATCTAGCCAGACTAACTCTGTCTCCGAGTAACGTTTCCTTAAAAAAATTTACTTTTCACAAATAACGCTTCTCCTCTCACCCTTACAGTGTACAAAAACCCAACACAACCACCGAATACTGGAGAGGATCAAACGGTAGCGCACAAACTCAAAAACAACCACGACGAAATGGACCCAATACAAGTAATGCCGGACAAACACCACGACAACGTCAAAATCAAAGACCGCCAAAGCAAGCGCGACCAGAGCAGGGAGCACAAACCCATAATGAGCAACAGGAACAGAGTGAGAATAGTCCTAGCGCAGGAACACCACGAGAACGTCAACAAAGACCACAAAATCTGAAGAGAAATCGTAATGATCAACGAAAATCACGAAATGAGAATAATGCAGAACAGTCGCAGCCAACGGCTGAATCACAGCAACAACGAGAGGGTACTGATGAGCCCCAACGGCAGCAACAATCACAACGACAACGGCGGCATAAACCGAGACCAAAGCAACAACAACAGCAGTCTCCAAAAGCTATGCAGGTGGTCGAGGCGACTGAGTCAGCTACAACAACTTCCAAGATTTCTGCTGCTGCTGCGGTGGCGGCAGTTGAACCAATGGAATCGTAAAAATTCGGTTTAAGATTTAAAGCCTTATTGTCTGTGTACATAGTATTTATGTATGTTTGTCATAATAAACTTACTGCAAGATTTTGGAAAATTTATTTTTGAATCATGAATATGAAGAAGACATGTTGATCAGCCAAATTTCCGGAGCTTAACTTTAGTTGAAATTCTGGACTTTGAATAAGACGTCTGCGATGAGAGTTTGCTGACTCAAATCAGATTTTCCCGTTATACAACCGCAACCTTGGGTGTCGCGTAGTCTGTATGATCTGTAAGTTCTGGCCGATGATAGCGGCTAGTCCGATGAAGTAAGGTCGGGTTGAAAAGAACCTGACTTCACTTGATATCTCTGATTGGCACCAAATGGTGAAAAGGAGCAACAGTTGACAAGCTAAAAATCCAACAGCAACTAAACGAACTGCATTCAACCATTCTTAAAAAAAAACCACTGGACGCGATTCGCTGCTCTGAAAGTCATTCACAGTCGGTCGACAGTAACTCCTTCACAGTGAAGAGTAACGAGAAACACTTGATGCAGTCATGGTGGAGGGGGTCTCCAAAATACTTGGCTTGGTATTGGACAAGGAGTGGGACGAACACCCGGATCCAGGTAATGCGTGCCATTTCGGCATCTATGTCGACGATGTGGGAAACTAATCACGTATAAAGAAACTCGTGAAAGAGTTAGCATATACGGTGGGTGGTCACAAATACTGGGCTGAGGAGTCATGTAGTATAAGTAGATTCTCTTATAGGAATCGACCACCGACATTCTATAAGTGAGTTTGGCATGTCTTTTGAAACATACGGATGGAAAATAGCTTCTCCCTGATCCAATCCAGCGAAGCAATTCGTTTATTGGGCCTCCCGTGCAACTTCCGACAATGAATGCGATCCCAGAAGAAATATCAAAATTTAGGGAACATATACTCTAAGAAAAAATCCATTGGTGAACTCAGAATGAACGAAATGAGGTTACCTTCATTATCTCTTACTCCCTTACGGAGAGGTTTAGATTTCTTATGACGGGGAGTAAGCGTATGCGTTTAGCCTGGTCGTTTAGTCGCTTTGGCGCCTTATTCCAGCATACCTGAAGTCTACTTACAGTAAATGCATATGGAAGGGGTTCTTCCCAGGTGGAGATCGGCAGTGATTTTCGATCTAACTGGGGTAGCGGTCTCCTTCCGGTACTTGGCAGGAAAGATTGCTTGTTTAACGGCTTCAGAATATGGTTTTAGGAAAAATCGTGACGTGAGGACATGTGCATGTATGTTTATGTAATAGGTCAAGAAGCAATTCTTCAATATGTATATCCGTGGCACATTTGTTAACTGTAAAGGAGTGTTTGATTATATTATATATGATGGGAGAAAGCTATTGTGCGTTGGGAGGAGTTTGAATATCTAGGCAAACTCTATGGCGGAACAATTTCCCAAATAGAGAAGCAACTATTATTGGGAGAGAATGAGTGTGTTGATGTTCGTGTGGCTCAAGTTGGTACTCATGGATCCATTTGTGGTACAATTATTTGGAACCTTATGATTTGCTTCTTGATGTGGAAGTTGGAGCGTGACTGTAATTGCTGTGGGTGCGCGTGCGAAGACGAGCAGTGCATGTGAAACAGAGCGTAAGGGTTGGGCGCATGTAATGTGCGAATGCTAAATGTACCTAACGACCTGGGCATTCATACTTACGGACATGTGGTATTCTCTCTAGGTCTAGTTTTTGATTTTTTTTATCGGGAAGTGCTTAGACGGCGAAGATTTAATATTAGAATATTTAGTGCGAATGTGCTTGTTGTGCGTCGGTACACCAGCTCTACGGAGCAGTATCCAAGCTCAACTAGTGGTAGTTTAATATATACCACGGTGAAAAGAAGCTTTTGTGGTGGTTGTGTTTTAAAACCAAGTGCTCGTGCTCGATGAGTGTCTGCTTGCATAAGCTGAACTTTAGATAGCCTTCGACCCCTATGAAGGTGGTTAACCGACACAATTTAGGTCTGGAGTGCTTAATATATGCTGCGCAAGCAATGCAATGCTACCGCAATGAGGATCCTAACAAGCATCCAATAGAGGCTGGACCTCCATCCAGGCACATCAGAAAGTGAGTACCAGATTTTAAGAGCACTATCCTAATACTGCCGCTAATTGGGACTGGATATTGTAGCAGGTTAAAATCCTACTTATCCAGACTCGACCACAACATACCCAACATATGTCCTACATGTGGTGAGTCTCCGCAGAATACAGACCGTTAAGGTAGAACGAAATGAATTGATGATCGTGGTGCGCTGTGATTTTAGAATTTTAATGATATATGATTCGCCTCCCATTATGTACGAAAATAAAAGTTTGCCCCAAACGAAAAACTTATATCATTAAAATCAGGAGAACAGAGTGGACCACACTCACTATTTTATTTTGTTCTACCTTAACGGTCTGTATTCTGCACTTGTTCCAAACCTTCAAATCCAGTACACCTCTCTCTCGCTGTTCCGACGCCGTTAAAACTGCGCTTTTTTCGGACCGCCCATTAGAAGACCACGACGACATAGCCTAACTATACCTCATACTAGGCGGAGCAACAAAAACAGCGAAACTCGCCAGTATCATGAAGCTAGCACATCCTTTGTGATTTTCAGCATTCTGAGTTTGGGCTGTCGGTTGTACGGCAGCTACATATTTTAAGCACGTCGGACGGTAGTTGTTTTGTTGTTGTAGCCACAAAAATATTCCCCAAAGTAGCGGTTCGTTCCGGTATAAAAAAAACCCGACTTCCATGGGATCTTTTAGATTTTAATCGCCTCCTTTGACCGGTCTCGCTTTATATTGAATATTTAGTTTAATATTTCTCCAGTATATGTATGTACATACATATGTGTATGATTCATTTTCGACAATTTTGTCAATTTGGAATTACAAAATGGTCAAAAGATTAGTTAGTTTTGCTAATTAAAAAAAATGAGTTTCTTAAAACCGCTTAACGGTACTCAAACTAATATTTTCTATAAGTATTATATATTTTTATATCTTTATTATTATTATTTTTTAATCATTACAGTTTTATTTATTTTTTTTTTTTTCCTTTAATTCTTGTTTATTATTTTCTTTAGAGTTTATTGGTTTTCTTTCTTTGTTTTATTACGCACTTTTGTGTGAGTCTTGAGTTCATAGTTTTTTTTGTTTTTGTTTATTTCTTGTGTTAAATATTCAAAACTGGAGACTATAAATATATTATTCTTATTATTTTTTGCTTGCGTATTTGTTAATTTTATGTTAATTCTGTTCTGTTAGTTATTGGTGTCTGCTCTCTTTCTTAATATTGGAGTATTACAAAGTTATTTTATTTTGCAGCGATTTTCTTTTAAATTATATGACTTTATTGTATGTTCTTAAAGTGTGTGTGTGTTTGTGGGTCTACAAATTAAAATAACACACATTTGAAAATTCATATATAATTAAAAATGGCTAATAGCAAAAGCAGCGTTTGCATTTTAGCATTGATTGTTTGACGTTTTGAGTGACTATTTTTTGGGTCTCAGTTTTGTTGCTCTATTTTAAGTTTATTGTTTTAGTATAGCGTGTGAACATTTTTATGTTACGGTTGAATTTCTATTAACTTTATGCCAAATTAAACATTTAAAGCCAAATAATTGAAAGCAAATCAATTTAATATGCGCTACTGCTTCTCAATGTGTGTACGTGTGTGTGTATGTGTGTGTGTGTGTGTGTGTGTGTGTGTGTGCAATGTCATAGTTAAATTAAATTTTCAATAAATTGTATGAGCTGAGCGCCAGCATTAATTATTCTGTGTGCTTTAAGCGATTTCAAGTTTACTATTTTGTTTTTATTAAATAAAAGCAAGCAAGCACACATTAGTGTTAACATTGCACTTTTAAAGAAGGGTTTACCTACTTAAACGAAGTATAAATAAAATGTAAGCCTTTGTGTGTTTTATATTTTTAATATTCGACATTTTGTTTTCGCCTTCTACAAAGTACAAATGATTTCCATTTTTTTTGTTTAATAATAAATATTGTACTTAAATACACACATGAGCAAAATTAAGTTCATAGCGATTTTTTTTACTCTGGAATTTTTCCTTTGCCAAATAATGTCAATAATAATTTGATTCAATTTTGATTAACTGACAAAGCAATATAAATTTGATAAGGATATAAGCGAGTTATTACAAGTATATGGATGTATGTGTATGTATATCTGTATATGCAGGTGTGTGTGTGTGTGTTTTGGATTTTATGTGATTCTGAGTATTTATTTTACCAGCTGTTTTTTTTTAATGCCGAACCAAAGGAATTTTATCAGAAGAATACTATTTTAATTGAGCTGCCTATTAATAGCAACTTTAAGGTTCTTTTACCATAACTCTTTTATGCTTTCTAGTTTTCTTTGTTTTAATTAAATATGCATTTTAAATATAATATATATATATATGTTGAAACATTTTTTTTTTTTTTGCTTTAAAGAGTTCGCTCCCAGGCGCGCTATTTCGAAATTTTATTGAATCGTCGTTTTTGCTTTTGCTTTAAACTATATATGAATGTATGTATTTTGTATATAACGCAGCGTTCCATTTATCCTAATTGAATTTAGGACTGTACATACACGCATTATGCTTTCACCTTTCACTTTGTTTTGCATACATTCTTTATGCTTTTTATACCAATTGCTTTTGCAGTAAGATACATTTGAGTTATGCTTCTTTTCCTTATGATTTTCTTTAATAAATGTTTTTTTTTTCTTCTTCATTTTCATTTCCATCATGAAATTTATAAGTGGTTTTTTATGTGATTATAATGTTTTTTTATTTTTTTTTTTTAATGATTTGCTTTCTAATTATGATTTTTCTAGTTTTTATTGTTTTGTTGTTGCTGTTGTTGTATATGTGTTTTACTATATTGGGCTTTCTTCATTTCCTCATGCCTCTTCACACTATGCTGTGCTGTTTGTATGGATGCTTTTTTTTCTGTTATGTTTTGTATGCCACATTCACATTTTCACACAATTTGCCACGATTTGAATACAGTATATAAGATCTAAGCTTCACTCTCGCCAGGCGTTGCGTTTTCCTCTTCATTAATTGGTACAATTAGATTCTCCTTGGACATGAGATTGTATTTTGTTACAAAATGCGTAAAGCGGTGACACAAATACGTTTCAGCCTCAAATTCGTCGAATATTCTCCGATGATGGAAATACGCGTGAGAAAATATTCTATAAACACGGCGGCATACCGACCCTAGTTTGGTCACTGATGACTCCTTGATTGAAACCCTGTCGAAGAAATTGAAAAAAATAAATAAATAAATTTTAGATTATATATGAACATATATATAAAAAAATTATAAACTACAATATTGTAAAATGTACTTTTCGGCCAAAAAAATATTGAATTTTTTATTTTTCAAAAAACCAATAATGATCAATGTGTCGGCGATGAAAAAATTATTATAAATGATAATTAATAAACTGTTTTCCAAAATAAGCAAACATATTAACCGCTGGATTTTAATCAATAATAAAATAATCGTGAAAAAAAATTTCTATGCTTTCCTTATTTAAAAAAGGCAACACAATAAGTCCGTCCACATTACTCACCTGCTTGGAAAATATTTATTGCTATTCAATAGACATGCAGCACCGTCTAGTGTATGACGTGTATAATCAATGGCGGGGCATTCTTTTGGGGTTTTATGTGCAGCACACAGGAATATCCACTGATCGGTGGCCGTCATTTGTGTGCATGTTGTAGGCGAACATTGTTTTTGCAAACGGACAGCAAGACCGTTTAACTCCATGCAAAATTGTCTATATATACAAAAGTATTATTGCTTTATTTGTTATTGCTATTATAAATAAAAAAAATGTAAATAATCACCTAAGATGTTCATATTTCCAAACACCTTCGTCTTGAGCTTCTGGCATTGTCAGAATTAATTCAACATTTGACGGATCACGTTTGATCAATTGTTGAATGTATTGTTGTACAGCCAGGGTGCTGTCCATTTCTTCTAATGGTTCATCGGCCCATCGGCAGAAATCCTACAAAGTAAATTACATTAATACTTGCAAACATATGCATTGTAGCGCAATGTAATGTAATACTGGTTTAGTTTTAACAATTAATTTATACGTATGGTTTTTCAATTAAAATCAGTGAGCAGTGCTTCCATTAACATAACTTTGGACGATCTTCCACTTTGCTTACCTTCGCTTTTGTTCCAGGTCTGTTTCTTCGCAGAATAGTCGTGCTGTCCGCCATCTTCATGTTTCTTCTGACTCTTCCCTTTTTAAGCAAAAGAAAAAAGAGAAAGATCCCAATTGAAGTGCTTTACTCCCTGTATTGGGCGTGTTAAATTCTTTTATGTGTTCACTATTCTTATTTCACTATTTCGATTAATACAAGTTAATTTAATTTTTCGTCCATATAATTTTGCTATGCAATTTTGTATAATAAAACTAGTCTTTCATGTGAAAAATCTGTAGTTTCTCGCAATCTTCTTTCCACTAATTTTTCGTTTTGTGAAAATTTTTGACAACTCCTTCATTCATTGATGGAGAGTTGTTGTACGTACAGCAGAATTTACAGGGTTGTATTTCAATTACTTTAAATCGTAATGGTTGTAAAACGTAAGGCGGTTATGCTAGCAGGAGTAAAGATATAATTACGTTTGTTTAGTAAGAGTGCTTATAGTTTAAAATTTTAATCCAGATGTAATGATGGAAAGTTATGATTTGACTGCAAACAAAAATTTATAAAAATATTGCTTGTGTGAAAAAGATATTCCTCCAGTTAGCTTTTGATAAATGTCGGTCAAGAGACAGCCTTCAGGTGAAAATTCGGGTCGATCAAGTTTGAAATCTTCATTGCCGCAGGAACTATTGGATTTCAGCCATTTGATACGATAGGCGTAACTTACGGCGGGTCCACTCGTGAGCCCCTAATCCACGGGGTTTAGGTATTTTTCAAACTTTTGGCATTAAAAGACTTTTTTAATAAAATGGATACTCCTAAAGTAGAGTAAGTCACCGTTCTTGATTTTCAGCTTAGTTAAGCTTTGAACATGACACATTGAAGCGTTTGGCATGTTCAGAAACAGCAGATGTCGAATTTTTCTAGTTAAACGAGTGGAAGCTTCCAATAAGGGAAGGCTGCGTAGGATTTAGATGTGCTCAGCGAAGCTTTTATTCTAATTTATATATAAGATAACCAAACAGGATTAGAGTACGTTTGGTGCCTAAAGAATTCTCGGCTGCAACAATATCCAGTTACGTACTTTAAGCGATTTTTGTTGACCTTTAACTTAACGTTACGCTTTACGAGTAAAAAGCTGGAGCAAAATATTCGGATGGCAACGCTAACTTTAATATCAGAAATAAAAGAAGAACAAAAGAATAAGCGAAAAGAAGACGAGTTCGACTTTAACACAAATTGCGTTTCAATTGTGCGAGAAATAATTAAAATATATAATTTTTGTGATATTTACAAAAAAGAAAAACAACAGGAGAAAATAAAACAATATGTCGTACGCATATTTATTCAAATATATTATCATTGGCGATACTGGTGAGTCCAAAAACAGGCTGAATGAAAATCTACTTGATGTGTACACAAAGAAATCATGAGGAAAAAATATGACTTGAGGAAATTTTTTTTTCGCAAGAGCATGGAAAAAAATGGAATGAAAAATTTATGCAATGTTTATAATTCACAAACATTCACTTTAGGCACGACTAAACAGCAGTAACGAATTAAAATTTTGTATTTTAGTTCAACAATATATATAAGAAGGCCGGATTGTATTGCTGGCACTATAATAATACCAGCTGCTTGGTATGGTTGGTATTAGATGATGACTATGTGTGATGACGAAAGCATAGGACAATACCTAGAAAACATTTTTGTGGAAAATCGATAGTTTTCATATTGTTGCGGGCGTTGCTGTAGTATAAACGCTGCATGTGTACGCATGTACAACAAATTGTATTTTAATATGTTGGCTGCTTGCAGTGAGGGTTTTGCAATGGGGAGCCAACAAAGAAGTGGGCGGAACAGATTTTCTAAAGGTCTATTTGATAGTTTACTTGTGATTATAACAAATTCAAGCTAAAAGGAAGTAACCCTTCTTAAACGCTTAAACTGTGAATCATGGGTTAATAGTCCATTTGATACAATTTATCTATATACACAAATATGTATGTAGTTATGTACCATTCTCCACTATGAAACAGCTGTCACGGTTGTAAGAGTATTTATGTCTGTATGAATGTATGTAGTCGTAAATAGCAGAATTTTAACTAGTGCAGGCGAATGTGCTTTTGCAATTTAGCAAACTCAAGGGTAATCAAATGCAATTAAATTTTTGCATTTTATGGTAATTGTATAATTATTGTACAGCAAATACAATTTGCAGGAATAATACCTACGTGTAGGCAGCACTTTTCTATACATATGTATATACTGTGAATGAAAGTGATAAATAAATTATTTACTTTTATGTTAAAATTTTAAAATTTTTTTTCAGGTGTTGGTAAATCATGCCTACTACTTCAATTCACCGACAAACGCTTCCAACCTGTGCATGATTTGACAATTGGTGTAGAGTTTGGCGCGCGCATGATCACAATCGATGGCAAACAAATCAAACTACAAATTTGGGACACAGCTGGTCAGGAAGCGTTTAGGTAAGTGCGCTGAAATCATGTAAATTTGAAAAGAATTTAAAAATATACATTTGAAATTTTTACTCTCCCTGCAGATCTATTACACGTTCATATTATCGTGGTGCTGCCGGCGCTTTATTGGTATATGACATTACACGCCGTGAGACTTTCAATCATTTGACCACTTGGTTGGAAGATGCGCGTCAACATTCGAATTCAAATATGGTTATTATGTTGATTGGCAATAAGAGGTTGGTGAAAGTTGTGAATATGTATTTAATAGTTTGTTTTATGTATGTATACATAATTTAATTATGAAATTATTTAGCTGCTTGATTTGAAAAAGCCAAGTCTGTGGTATAATTAACACAGTGCAGTTTTTTTCATAAATGCATTTGTATAAATGTATTCATCTGCACATCTTTTAACATGAACATAAGTTTTTGTGTAGGTAACCCAACAAACTTTCTATAGTGATGATTCATTAAGATTCATACACAAATACTAGAATGTTTGTGGTTCTATAACAAGTTGATTAACAATATTATGCCTACATATAGATTTGTTCTACTTGCTTCATAAATAATCATATGTATATGTAAATATTTTAATTAATTTGTGTTATTATTGATTGCTACGATTTAACCGATTTACAGTGACTTGGATTCACGACGTGAAGTGAAAAAAGAGGAGGGTGAAGCTTTTGCACGCGAACATGGTCTCGTCTTTATGGAAACCTCGGCGCGTACAGCAGCCAATGTCGAAGAGGCATTCATTAATACGGCAAAAGAAATTTACGAAAAAATACAAGAGGGCGTTTTCGATATAAATAATGAGGTGTGTGTAAGCAAAATAAATGAAATGAAATAAGAAAAAAATTCAATTATATACAATATACTATATTTTTGTATTGCAGGCAAATGGCATTAAGATAGGACAACAGCATTCCCCAACAAACCCATCACTGCCGGGTGCTGGCAATCAGGCTGGGTCGGCTAGTAGTGGCTGCTGTTAAGTGGCGCTTTACAGCTGCGGCTGGAGTTAGTGATTTTTTTCTAACACATATACATACATACATTACATATAAAAAGAAAATAAGAACTAATAAGTAAAGCTAATTATTTGTTCGTCCTTGGAAGTGTCTATTATATATATTTGTTTACTTTTATTCAGTTTGTCTTTCTTTTACTAGTTTTTTTTTCTTACTTTAAATCCAACCTAAAAAGTGAAATGTTTGTAACGGCAAAATAACCGGCATTTCATATGATTGAAATTAAATTACGTATAAGAAATGAAACGAATCTTAAATAAAAACAAATTTCATAAATACAAACATGCATACATATACCTACTACATATATTTGTAGAACAACTGCACGCTAATAGAATACCAAAAAACAATAAAAAAAAAATAAAATCAAATAAAGTATTTTTTAAATAGAACACATTTAACTGTTGCTCAGTTTCATTACAGTTGTCATAATTAATAGCAATAATTGCTCCAAAAAAAAAAAAAGTATGAATTATCAAATATAAAAAAATACATTGGCGAACTAAAATAATAAAAGCAAAAACAAAAAAAATAAATAAATACAAAATTATGTGAAAATTAGCTATCATTGAAGCCGCAGCTGCAAGTAGAGCATTGAAGTTGTATTTTCCTGTTCTCTTTTTTACTACTCAAATACACGCGCAAAACACAATTACATAATTAGACTATAGCGCGCGTGCGTAAAGTAAATTTGTATGCTGTATATGCATTGCCGCTTATAGAATTTAAATACATACTAAATGAAAGAAAGAATACGATAAAGAGACGAAAAACCAAAAGAGTTTTATGGGCTTTCAAGTATACCAAAAAAAAAAAAGAATAAAGACAAAAAAAAAAAATTACAACAAAATTATATGCATACACTTTAATATATTTATTTTAAAGCTATATAAATTGATAATTGACAATTGAACTTCTTAATACCTAGAAATATTTGAAAATACAAATACAACTAACTGCATTCTTACATTGTGCAAGTGTGAAGCTAAGATTTTATATATGTATACCATACAAACATACTTGAATAGAAGGTTAATTATGATGTGAATGTATAATTACGCGTATATATACATACATACATACATGGAAATGCTAAATTTTAATATTTTTTATTTGTTTATTTACCGCATAAACAGTTTTTTTAATATTTTTAATTTTTGTTATATATTTTATATTTTTTATATGATTAGTTTTTTATATTTTTAAATGATTATTATTTTTATTTTTTAAATGTTTAATTTTTTTATATTTTTTATTTTTTAAAATTTTTTTTTTTGAAATATTTTTTTTTTTAATATTTTTTATTTTTTTTTTATATATTTTAAATTTTTATATGATTAATTCTTTTTATATTTTTTATATGATTACTTTTTTTTTATATTTTTTAAATGATTAATTTTTTTTTATATTTTAAATGATTATTTTTTTTATATATTTTATATTTTTCTTTATATTTTTTATTTTTTTATATTTTTTATTTTTTGATGTTTTTTATTTTTTTTATATTTTTTATTTTTTAGATGTTTTTTATTTGGTTTTTTTATTATTTTAATCTTTTTTATATTTTTAGTTATTTATTTATAGTTTTTATTTTTTTGTATTTTTTATATTTTTTTATTTTTATGTTTTTTTATAATTATTTTTTTTATTTCTTAGCAAAATATTTAGTACATTTGATAACACAAAATCAAAAGAACGAAAGCGCAGTTATAGGTATGTTGTAAATGTACACACATACACATTTTCACACAAAGAAAAAAAAAAGAAAAAAATTAAGCATCAAATCATCACGCTCGAGTTTTGGCTTAGCGCTCTGTCAACATATCGCTCTCTCTTAGCGCATTATGCGTGTGTGTGTGTCTTTATAACTTTGATTGCATGTGTTTTACCTTTAAAGTCTAACAATTATTTTTTTTGTAATTAATACTTTTTTGCTGAACAAATTTTAATAAATTTTCGATCAGTTGCAGAATCATCACAAACAAACTAACAAAACATCACCTAAATACATACATACATACACCTTACATAAAAGCATGCATACCTACACACATACACACATTCATACATAAACGAAACATTGCGAAGAAATTAATAAGAGGTATAATTAAACAAAAAAAAAAAAAGTTTATTGTAAGAAAAGTAAAGTTTGATATGTGACTAAATAAAAAATAAACCAATAAATACACTTACAAATAAATCAAAAAACGAAGTTGTCTTCCCTGGTGTTTTTGTTGTTGTGGCGGTACACTAGCTCCGCTTCGGGACAGTTTAGTTAGTCTAAATCACCGAGATCATCTAACGGGTCCGGACCAGAGGGAGAGAGGGTTAGATGTCCGGTTTCAGTGGACATGTAAAGAGGTGGTTAGAGTCGTTCGGGGCTCATTACTTGTATGACATACGTAGGGTATGTTGTGATAGAGCGGTTGCTGGGTGGTGTCCTTTAAGTCAAGTACTACCTTTCTGATGTGCCCGGGTGGAGGTTCAGCCTCTAATAAGAATTGCTTAAAAAGTAAATTATTATGCTCCTTAAGTCGTAGCATATTTTATTTACTGTGCAGGTCATGCTCAGACGGCATCAGGATGTTTCCGGTCGCGATTCAAGGCTTCTTTGTCTTTACCCCAACTCTAACGACAGCTGGTTCTAAGTATCGCAGTTGTTCTGGATTTTATCCGGCCAAGGGCGATCTTACCCCGTTTAAGTCAACAGGTAACGTTGATATATTCTTCTTCTTCATTGGCGTAAATAATGCGCTCTTCGCTCCTTCTCTTCGCTGTTTTGGCGCCAGCTGGAAATACCAAGTGAAACCATATTACTAACCATCTGATCCTTCCAAAGGAGGCATTTGGACGACATGACCTAGCCAGCGTAGCCGTCGTCCCTTCAATAGCTACGAGTATACTATATCAATGCCAGCGCAATCTTATCGCTCCTTCGGACCATAAATCGTAAAATCTTTGTTTTGAAAACTCTTAACGCCGTGTTGTCAGATTTTGCCATTCTTGGTGCCTCCGCAAAATATAGAAGGACGGGAATTATGGGGAACTCGGAGAGTTTGGTCGCTGTTCGTAGAGAGAGGATTTTACTTTTCAATTGCCTACTCAGTTCAAAGTAGCAACTGTACAGAGTGATTCTGCATTGCTTTTCAGGGCTGACATTGTTGTTAGTGTGTACACTGGTTCCCAGCTAGACGAAGTTACTTCTGCCTTCTAAGTTAAGACTGTCTACAGGTACAGACAAACCGAGGTAGGGGCAGCTCTTTACAGATCAATAGTGGACTGACCAGGTCTAAAGCCACATGGAATAGGTCTAATCAATTTGTTGACGGTGGGCTGTAGTTTTCACACAATACGCTCGTTAGGACCTTATACGCCATATTTAAGATGTAAGTCCCATGGTAATTAGCGCAGCCTGCGGCGTCCCCTTTTTTATGGAGTGCACAGAGCACACTTAGGTTACAATCGTCAAGTATGCTTTCAACCGACCATATTTTGCAGGCACATCGTCAGCTCTTCGCGACCATGTTTGTATAGCTCTGCAGGTAGGCCCACAGCTTCCGTCGCTTTGTTGTTCTTTAGGCGGGCAAACGCTATTCGAGCCACGTCATATCCGGGTAATCGATGCTCACGCATTTCGGCCTCTTACTTTTTTCTTGTCTGCAAAAGCGTCTTGACTAGCTCTTCAGCTATCGATATATATCCCACCCCGCTTTAGTAGTTAATGAGTAATTCCTGGACGCCACCATAGAATACCTTCCAATGGTTGTATATCAATGGACGACATCAAAGAAGGTACCAAATCCCCGTGTGGAAATTGCGTCCTGGAAATGATCAATGGTAGTAGGTATGGCGGCTACAGGAAAGTGGTTTCATATATACCGGGTTCCAAGTCACAACAGCATTCTGGGAAAGTGTATAGTCGAAGAGATAGCCAAAAGTATCTACCATCCGTCTGGCTATCGAAGAAATACAGGGAATAGACAAATCGCTATAAGCAATGTTCTAAGAGCTTCATAGCAACAAAATTAGATATCAAGGCTCTCTTCAACTCGAATTCGGCTCGAACAAAGCTGAGCTGAGCTCAATATGGAATTACAAAGGACCAGCCTAACACGGAGTGGTTGACATTCCCAGGCGAGGAAAATAATTCGAAAATTAACACAACGTTTTTGCCGATGCGCATGCCCAAGCGGTTTGCTTTTATTATTTTAAATAAATAAACATATGCATATATATATATATATAAGTACATATATATGTACCATAAAATTATTTGAAAATCACTGTCTTTGTTCTTCTGAGCTTTGTACTTTGCAGGCGTGTCCTCTTATGTTGGCGGTGGCATTGACGGCTTTTATTACTGTTACTACTAGCCAAAGCCAGGATTGTCGTTGATGGAGATATTCAGTTCAGTGCTGTGTCGGCTGTCCCAGCTTCAGTGCCTTCCATTCCGTCCAGTTGCTCAGGGGATTGTGACAAGCTGCAGCTCCTTCAGTATTTTTATCGCGTTCCCCGTCCATAACACTCAGCGTAGGGTTTTGAGAAAATTTTACCTTGTCATCTTCATAGCATAGCGGATGGTAGACCTTATCGTCCACCCTGATGGCATTTCGCAAATGCCATTCCTCAGTCTCATCGTGATAAAATTGCTCCAACTTCTCTTGACATATCTCACAAGCGTTATCAACTCCATTCGGCAATGCTGGGCAGCTGGGTGGCGTCGGCGAGTTCAGTCGCTTTAGATTGGATGTCGCTTTGGCAGATTCAAATACATTCTTTTCAGGCTCCTCCGAATCTTCACCCGCAAAGTATTGCATCCTACCGGCGATTGAGGAGTACCATCCACGGGAGGACGCTTTGAGTGATTGGTCCCATACACGACGCTTCTGACGGAAATGCCAGTCCAAATGCTGACCATATTCTTTAGTTTTCTCTTTCGGAAAACGCTCACTGCAGTTACTACACAGCACACCAGAGTAAAGTGAGTCCACAGGTGCCGTTTGACGCGTTCTAATGGTTTCCCGTTTGGCTAAGTCGATCGGCTGTATGACAATTGGTTGTGGAGTCTCTTTTTCAGGTGCGCCGGCTGATGATAAGGCCCTGACATCTTTGTTGTTTGATTTGATAGCACCATTAGGTCCCAATATGCCGGATGAGACTAGATTCTGGAAGAGTTCATTGATGTTGATTTTATTTAGTGGCGGCAATTCTGGTGTCTGTTGTATCTGCGGTGGTGGCGGTGGGCTGGTGNGGCGTGAAATCGTCCACAAAGAATTTCTTCCACCGGAGCAAACCGCAAATAAAGTATACTATCGTACTCGAAAGATTCCGAAAAAGGGTCTACGGGGTGCGCTGAATCCTTCATCACAACAACGCGCCGTGCCACACCGCCCTCAGCATGCCCTCTAAAGGGATCGTTGCTACAACCGCCTTCTCCGTCCGGTATATCTTTTTTGTTCCCTAGAACAAAATTGATGGTCAAAGGAACTCATTTTGAGTCGATTGAGGACATTTTGGCGACTGTGACGAGGGTACTCGCGTACATCCCAGTCGAAACGTTCCAGTCATGTTGGCATGGAAAACGCGCTGGAATCGTTGTATATCTGTCCAAGGGACTACTTTGAAGGAGATAGCAGAGTTGTAGAATAATTTTGAAATATACAGTTTTTATGGAATCAAGTCTCATTACTTAATTGACACATCGCGCATCATATCACCTTCCAACAAAGCTCTCGGCGAGTCACTATCCACGCATGTGGTCGAGGCTTTGGCCCGATGAAACACCATTCCCCACCAGTTAGCTAAAGCTGAGCGCCTCTGAGCGATTGCTTCCTTCAGACAGTCCAATTTCTGGCTGTACACCTTCGAATTAAGAGTTTAGCCGTAAGGGAGCAGCTCATAGTTGATAATTCTTTGCCAATCTCACGAATTTTCATCCTCAGTCACCAGCCGTTTCAGAAATGGATCGATTTTTTTAGGATTCTGTAGTGATTCGCGGATGGTAATTCAGTCCATGAGGTTTTTAATTGTTAATAAGAATTGTGGCCCCTATATATCGAGCTTCTCTATGCCCAGACTTTTTGAAGTGTTTCCAAACTGCTTTTTGCACAATGCTTAGCTCCTCGGAAATCGAAACAGACTCGACGTGTTTCCTTACTTTATCGAAATTTTCGACAACTGGCCTTTCACACCGCGGAGCATCTTTTATAGAAAAATTACCAGAACGAAATCGACGAAATCCAAATTGTGCATTACGAATTGTTACGGTATCACGACCACAAATATTTTCGGCTGACTGGCTTGGGATTTTTTCTTAAATTTATATTTAACCAACAGTTTTTAAATAAATACCAAACCAAACAATAAATAAAATTTAAGTTTTTACAATATATAAATATGTACAGGAATAATTTTTACTGAATTTCTAATTTATTTTCTTCCCATTTCAGACTTGGTACGACGCTGTAATAGATGCGCTAAAGACTTCATTTGATTTTTCATTATTTGCGGATATTAAATTCTCATTATTTAATTTAGCCACATTATTTTTGTTCATTTGGTAAGTGAAATAAAATAAATAACTTTCAATTATAAATATTTGATTTTAATCTTTCTATCTCTTTCTCTCGCTCTCAGGTTCATTATACCCTATCTATATCTGCCTGAATATATGAAAATTCACGGTTACGAAGCAGCAGACTCCGCCCATTTGATTTCGATTATTGGCATTGCGCAAACCATTGGCATGATTTTTCTGGGTTATATCGGAGATCGTCCGTGGCTGAATGTGAATATTTGTTATTCAGTGTGTATGGCTGGTAAGACAAAATACGAAAAATGTAAAACGTTCACTTGTTAAATTAAAAAGAGATCAGTTTCTAAACTAAGAAAAAGAATACTGAAAAATATATTTAAATGAATAAAAATTGTTTTACGGAAATTCTTCTTCAGATACTTTATTTNTTTTTTCTTTAATTCAAACTACGTTTTTTTACGTTATTAAACTTAATGTTTTTTAATTTTATTTTATTTTATTATTCATTTTAATTTATTTTTATTTGAATTTAATACATTTTTTTTATATATTTCATTTCTCTAGTTTGTTTCATTTATTTTTATTTTATTTTTTTTCCATTCAAATTTTTTATTTATGCGTAATTAAAAATTTTCCTTTATTATGTTTTACTTTTTTTAATAATTTGTTTCTTATTTTCTTTTATTTTTTTTTTTTTTTACTTTTATTTCATTCAAATTGATTTGATTTAGTTTTATATTTTACCTGATCTTATTTTTTCCTATATTGGTTTTCGCTATTTTTTTTTATATTGCTGTATTTAATTTAGACATATTTTACTTTATTTAGTTTAGTTTTCCCTTTTTTATTTTAACTTATTTTCATTTATGTGATTTTATTTTACCGCCTACGTTTTTTTATTTTTATATATACATATATGCATGTATAATTAAATATTTTACTTATTTACTTTATTTTGTTATAAATTTTTTTTATTTTCTGTATTTTATTTCATTTTGTTTTCTTCCTTTTTTTATCTTATTGAAATTTGAATTATTTCAATTTACTTAATTTCATACTGTTTCTTACATTTTTTTAATTGATTTTATTAATTTTTTTTAATTTGATTTATTTGTAATTTTTAGTTTAAAATTTTTATTTTTCGATTTTATAATACTTTGTATTGGGGTTTATTAATTTTTTATATATTTAAAATATATTTCTTACTTAATATTTTTTTTTTGATTTTGTATCATTCCATTCTATTTTTTATTTATTTTTTTTTTTGTTAAAAAGCTATTTTATTAATTTTTATTATAATTTTATTCTACTAAATTTTGATTTTTTATTTTTGTTTTTTTTTATATACTGTTTTAATTCAAAGTAATTTTATTGAGTTTGTCTTCATTTTATTTTAATTCGTTTTTTAGTTTTTATTCTGTTTAAGGAGATTTTTTCGTTTTATTTTAATTTATAATTAGTTCTAATTAAGCTTATAAAATCTTTTATTTTTATTTTATGCTATTTTGTTTTTTTATTATGTTTATTTTTAATTAATTTAATTTTTTCATGTATTTTTTTTGTTACTTTCTACTATATTTTATTTCAATTTTTTATAAAATTATATTTTTTATTTTCTTCGATTTTATTTTATTTATTATAGAAATGCATAACTAAAGTTTCATTTTATTTTCTTTAGTTGATTTATTTTTTATTAATTTTTTTTTGTTGTATTTCACTTTATTTTTGTTCTATTTTCAGTTTGTGGCATTTGGAAACAGGCTGCTTCGAGGAAACAGGCTGCGAGAAGGAGTGTCAGACAAGTGGATTTCAGCGAGGATGTAAAGAGATTTCAAAGAGATATCAAGTCGTAAATCTCAAATACCACTTTCATTAAAGTTGACTGTGAAAGGCGTCACCGTAGATGTAGAATAGATGAGTTTTAAAAGTTGGACAACGAAAAAGCGGAAAGGTTCACAATGCAGCTTTTTATGCCTTTTATGTTACTTTTGAAAAGAGCTTCTTCAATACTCTGGCCATTTCCTGTGCCCAGAGGTAGACGACATAGTCGACATCACATAATTTTGATTGCCCATAAGTAGTCTTTAAGAATCTCATCTACAACACATAGAACTCAACGCCCGGTATCGACTTCAGTCCATGTGTATATTTCGAGCTCGAGCCCAAATATGGGCTTACATTGTAAAAATGCCCAGGCACAAACTTCCATTTTTGGCTTACAGTTTTCTCTCATTGAAATTGGGGTTGCCATTGCGCACTCCCACCACGTCTTCTTATTAAATAACAGCACAAATTTCATTTTTTTTTTGTTAAAATTAAATTTTTTTATTTTAGCAAATAACACGTCAGTCAAGTAAGTAAGTAATAACAATTTTTGGCAACAATATAAAATACTAAAAATTACGGTAAACTATTCAAATTAACCTAAACACTATAGATTAAAGTTTATATAATATATATGTATGTAATACTTTCTTAATTCCTATTAACTAATCCAGCCAATCATCGACATCGAAAGACGTATTCAGATTAGCACTGTGACGGCTGTCCTTGCTGTAACTTCAGCGCCTTCCAATCCGCCCAGTTGCTCGGGGGACTGTAACAAGCTGCAGCTCCGTCAGTTTTTTTATAGCGTTCCTCGTCCATAACACTAAGCGTAGGGTTTTGTGAAAATTTTAGCTTGTCATCTTCATAGCATAGCGGATGGTAGATCTTATCGTCCACCCTGATGGCATTTCGCAAATGCCATTCCTCAGTCTCATCGTGATAAAATTGCTCCAACTTCTCTTGACATATCTCACAAGCGTTATCAACTCCATTCGGTAATGCTGGGCAGCTGGGTGGCGTCGGCGAGTTCAGTCGCTTTAGATTGGATGTCGCTTTGGCAGATTCAAATACATTCTTTTCACTCTCCTCCGAATCTTCACCCGCCACAAGTTGCATCCTACCTGCGTTTGAGGAGTACCATCCACGGGAGGACGCTTTGCATGATTGGTCCCGTACACGACGCTTCTGACGGAAATGCCAGTCCAAATGTTGACCATATTCTATAGTTTTCTCTGGCGGAAAACGCTCACTGCAATTACTACACTGCATGCCAGAGTAAAGTGAGTCTATAGGTGCCGTTTGACGCGTTCTAATGGTCTCCCGTTTGGCTAAGTCGATCGGCTGTATGACAATTGGTGCAGCAGCTGATGATAAGACCCTGACATCTTTGTTGTTTGGTTTGATAGCACCATTAGGTCCCAATATGCCGGATGAGACTAGATTCTGGAAGAGTTCATTGATGTTGATTTTATTTAGCGGCGGCAATTCTGGTGTCTGTTGTATCTGCGGTGGTGGCGGTGGGCTGGTGCACAACACTGCGCCTGGTGGCACAAATGGTGGACTGCCACTAGGTGTCATCTGCATTTGCCACGGCATTTGGGGATGTATGCTTGGCATATTGGGTGGTGGAACTCTAAAGCCGCCAACATCTGCCAGTTGTGGGGGTGACTGTGGGCTGCTGCATATCATTGAGCCTGGTGGCATAAATGGTGGACTACCACTGGGTGGCATTTGCATTTGACAGGGCATTTCGGAATGCATATTGTTCATGCTGGGCATGTTTAGCAGTGAACCACCGCTGAAGCCACCAGTACCTTGATTTGGCCAGATCATATTTTGATTGGTCCATGGCATCGCATTTTCCTTCATCGTCCATTTGTTAGGTTTGAAATGTCTTTCGCGCTGTGGCTTGCCACGTTGTGGCCACTCCACGCAACTGCTCCCATATCTGCGTTCTTCGTAAATGCGTGGGCAAGTTGTTGGGGCGCCGAACTTTGCTGGCTTACTCCTCTTGGGCAAAGGTTCACCCAAACTCTCATTTTGCTTACGATAGTTTGTTGTTCTCTTCATTTTTACTCTTTATTATTTTTATTTTATTTATTTATTTATTTTTATCTANTATTAAATTAAAACGGGACTACTCGAGCAAACGAAAACTTATTTTAACAGTTTTTTTTCAATCATTGCCTGGGCTACAACTGCTCGCGCCAAAAAAGGACGATTCTAATAAAAGAAAATTAAAAAATTAACTTCTAATTATTTCCAAGCCAGATATATCAACCACAGCAACAAAAATCAAAGTCTGTGAACATATACCGTTATTGCTATATTCAAATATTTAACGCAAAGTCCGGTCTTCTATTGTCTCCGAGCCAGTTGAACTCGGGTATCGCGGGTCAGCTCGAGCTGTTCATTTGTCATGGGTACACTCAGAAGAAATATTAGGGAACACTTCAGAATTGCCAAGGTAGCCGATGGCGTAAAAATTCGATAAACAATCGAGGGTGTGCACCTAAAGTAATTGCTATCCATGAACGCGACTATTTTTTTCTAAGAAAATTGTATTGTTGGCAACAAACCGGGAAAATTCGAGGGGAAAACCCAAAACTTGTTGTCTATGCGGACGACATAGCTGTAATTGTTAAGGGAAAATTATTGAAATTTTTTACAATTACATATGTACACACAAACATACTCAGATATGGTGGTAAGTATTTTAAATAATAAAATTTCTTATGGTTAATAATGTTAAAATTATTGAAGGCAAATGAAAACATTTTTCCTAACTTATTATTATAAATTAAACAAAATACGTTCACCAAGCATTTTAGACGGCCAAAACTGGAGCAACTCAACTAAAGAAACAATTTTAAAGCAGGATACGTAGCTTTGCTACAAGCGTTTCGGTTGATGCCAAGCATTTCATTGGATTTTTTGTTGCAGTTGCACACGTCGGAACAAGAAATTTGTCTTGAAATAAAAATTAAATAAAAATCGGTAAATACCGTACATAGCGGAGGAAGACCTCGAAAAACATCACAATCTGTTGCTAGAAGTCAATAGCAGAACGGGGCGTAGATGCGCAGGGCAGGCAGGTTTATGTACGAGCGCGGATTCTATCAACAATACAGCAATTAAAAACCCACCCCGCAAGTGGTTCAAGAGTGGCTCAAAGCGGAAAAAGTCAACGTTTTCGAATGGCCTGCTCAGAGTCGCGACCTCAATCTTATTTGTATGTAGATATGTATGTATGTGTTGAAATAAAACCACAAATTATTTTTATTGTTGTAAACTCTCAATATACAATACTTATCTACTACCTGCGTAGCGGCAGTCTAGAGCGTCTAAAAAATTTCTCTTAACAACTCCAACTATGTCGTCCGCATCGGCAACAAGTTTTGGGTTTTCCCCTCGAATTTTCCCGGTTTGTTGCCAAGGAATTTCTTCATACAATTTTCTTAGAAAAAAATAGTCGCGTTCATGGATAGCAATTACTTTAANTAATATATAATATTATATTTATTTCTTATTTTCTTACTTTTTATTATTATTTTTGTTTTTTTTTCTTTCGGTATTGTAATTTTCTTTTTTTTTTTGTATACTTTTAATATATTTTTATTTTTTTTTTTTAATTTTTGCATTTTGCCTCATTTTGATTTCTCTTATTTCTTTGATATTTTTGTTATTATTTCTATTTTCTTTTATTATTACTTATAATATAACTCTTTTCATTCTTTTAAATACTTTCCACCATATTTAAATATGTTTGCTTGTTTTTACAAAACCACACATGGTTGTTGTTGTTGTAAGCGGTCAACATATGCACTGCCTGAGTAGCGACATCCTATATAAGGCACAAGAGTAGGCACAGTAAATCAGAATTATTCTATCCTTCGCACAGACAACATTATTCGCTACTTTCCGTCTTAATTTATTTATGCGACTGTTTTTTTCAAAACAATATTCCAAAAAAAAATATAAATAAATATACTAAAATTATATATATATATTTTATTAATATAAACAAAATTAAATTTATAGATAAAAATAAATAAATAAATAAAAAAAAATAATAAAGAGTGAAAATGAACAGAATGACAAACTATCGTAAGCAAAATGATGATTTGGGTGAACCTTTGCCCAAGAGGAGTAAGCCAGCAAAGTTCGGCGCCCCAACAACTTGCCCACGCATTTACGAAGAACGCAGATATGGCAACAATTGCGTGGAGTGGCCACAACGTGGCAAGCCACAGCGCGAAAGACATTTTAAACCTAACAAATGGACGATCAAGAAAAATACGATGCCGCTGACCAAGCATAATATGATGTGGCCACATCAAGGTACTGGTGGCTTCAGCGGTGGTTCACTGCTAAACATACCCAATATGCATTCCGAAATGCCCTGGCAAATGCAGATGACACCTAGTGGCAGTCCACCATTTGTGCCACCAGGCGCAGTGTTGTGCACCAGCCCACCGCCATCACCGCAGATACAACAGACACCAGAATTGCCGCCACTAAATAAAATCAACATCAATGAACTCTTCCAGAATCTAGTCTCATCCGGCATATTGGGANCTTTTTTTTTTTGTATACTTTTAATATATTTTTATTTTTTTTTTTTAATTTTTGCATTTTGCCTCATTTTGATTTCTCTTATTTCTTTGATATTTTTGTTATTTTTTCTATTTTCTTTGATATTATTTTCTTTTAGTATTACTTATAATATAACTCTTTTCACTCTTTTAAATATTTTCCACCATATTTAAATATGTATGTGTGCGTGTGTAGAATTAAAACCACAAATGGTTGTTGTTGCTGTTGTTATTGTTATTGATGTTGATGTTGGTGTGTTTGTTGTTGTTGTTGTAAGCTGTGAACATATGTACTGCCTGAGTAGCGACATCCTATATAAGGCACAAGGGTTGGCACAGTAAATCAGAATTATTCTATCCTTCGCACAGACAACATTATTCGCTACTTTCCGTCTTAATTTATTTATGTGACTGTTTTTTTCAAAACAATATTCCAAAAAAAAATATATATATAAATAAATATATTAAAATTATATATAAATATTTTATTAATATAAACAAAATTAAATTTATAGATAAAAATAAATAAATAAATAAAATAAAAATAATAAAGAGTAAAAATGAAGAGAACGACAAACTATCGTAAGCAAAATGAAGGTTTGGGTGAACCTTTGCCCAAGAGGAGTAAGCCAGCAAAGTTCGGCGCCCTAACAACTTGCCCACGCATTTACGAAGAACGCAGATATAGGAGCAGTTGCGTGGAGTGGCCACAACGTGGCAAGCCGCAGCGCGAAAGACATTTCAAGCCTAACAAATGGACGATGAAGGAAAATGCGATGCCATGGACCAATCAAAATATGATCTGGCCAAATCAAGGTACTGGTGGCCTCAGCTATGGTCCACCGCTAAACATTCCCAGCATAAACAATTTGCAAAAAATGCCCTGCCAAATGCAAATGCCACCCAGTGGTAGTCCACCATTTATGCCACCAGGCTCAATGATGTGCAGCAGCCCACAGTCACTCCCACAACTGGCAGATGTTGGCGGCTTTAGAGTTCCACCACCCAATATGCCAAGCATACATCCCCAAATGCCGTGGCAAATGCAGATGACACCTAGTGGCAGTCCACCATTTGTGCCACCAGGCGCAGTGATGCGCACCAGCCCACCGCCATCACCGCAGATACAACAGACAACAGAATTGCCGCCGCTAAATAAAATCAACATCAATGAACTCTTCCAGAATCTAGTCTCATCCGGCATATTGGGACCTAATGGTGCTATCAAACCAAACAACAAAGATGTCATGGTCTTATCATCAGCTGCTGCACCAATTGTCATACAGCCGATCGACTTNTACTTACTTTTTATTAAAATTATTATTTGCATTTTTATTTTTTATACATGATGCCATTCGAAAGACCAAAGGATTGGAACCCTGGATAGATTTTTTTAATAATAATAATAATAAGCCCAACGAATACCCTCCTCCCGTTTAACCGATACGAGGGCGCAATCCGTATAACGTACGATGATTGGAAGGCGTTTGTGGTAATTGTCACACAATCGACGAAAGGATTCGTTCAATTCAAAATTTCTTTTACATGACTTTAATAGTAACGGCTTCAACTGTAACGATACACGAGTTGGAATATTAAAGTTTACCTCAGACAAGAGCCATAATACTGGATTTGGATACTGGGAACTAGCAACACGCAGATGATTGATTGAGGTCTGTGTACTATAGTAGATTTAACTCTGATATACATTTGACGCCGACCTACTTTTCGCTTGTCAGCTCAATATCCGAAATGTCCCCGCACGACACTAACCATCTCTTTACATCTTCACTAAAACCCACTCGTCTGACACTCCTTCTCGCAGCCTGTTTCCTAATCTCGACGACATAGATTGTGTGTCTTGTATGCTTCTAGAAGGAATTGAAAAAGCCATTGAAACAACAACAAGATGCAAGCTGACGTTGTTAGGTCCAGGTTAGTCGGAGTTTTTGAAGATGTATACGTGTTAGGACCTCGACAAGAAGATTTCTCATACCGAAGTACACCGTTTATACTATAAGACAAACGATAAGCTTGACATGCGATACATATCTGTATGTTGAAATCTTCGAAGGGCACTAGTTAGAACTCAGCGCATTGTAGGATTATTATACATCCTCACTTCTCATTCATCGTTGTATGCCATTCATAGATTTACCTTTCAGACTGTGCACAATTATCTGCCTATGAATGTGGTAACGTAAGTGGATGCTCCTCATTTTGTAGAAGAAGAAGTTGCCTCGCTCGAACTTAGAATTAGACATGGGTCTTCCCGCTATGAAAAGGCAACCACCATTGCTATTCTCTTCAAACACTTAAATTACACATCCTTTTTGGCATTTCTCAATTAATTCGATCGACACAAAATCCATAGAGAAACTGGCTAACGAGACATGTCGTTCGGAAGCCTAAAACTCGAGTCCCGGTCCCACCAAATTCCAAAATTATTAGCTCTCGGATAGTATTTTTGACATGAAATAAAAACTTAGAAAAAACTGTGGCTCCACTGATTTGTAGAGTAAACATCAAGATACTTACCACAGATTGGATGGTGCTCGTCCGGAAAGCGGTTACAAAGTTTCAAATATATATATATACATATACATATACATATATTTTTCAAAACTTAATTTTTTGTCATATTCCGTAGCCTCCCTATATGATCTCAGCTTTCGTCTTCACAAGGACATCAAGCTATCCAGAAGAGGTAAGAAACTGGTCATTTTAGGTGTTTTTTTTAATTATTGATGCCTCGAAGAGGTAAACAAATGAATTTTTATTATCCTTAAAACAATATATTATATATCTTTAAAAATAAATTTCATATTCTTAAATTATAAAGTCTTATAAATAACTAGGAACTATCGGCTGTTCACAAAAATATTGTTTTATGCTTATATAAGTTATTATGTATAATATTATTCATTACAGCATTAAACCTTAAGGATCTCATCGTTTGGNCGTAAAAATTAATATGAATGAAATAAAATAGAAAAGAAAAAAAATTAAGAGAGATAAAATTACATTAAAAATTATACAAAATAGAAATGAAATAACATTGATTGAATTGAAATTGTATAAAATATGGTATATATAAAATATTTAAATAAAAAACGTAATAAATTAAAATAAAATTAAAATTAAGTTAAATAAAATGAAATAAAGTATCTGAAGAATAATCTCCGTACAACAATTTTTATTCATATAAATATATTTTTCAGTATTCTTTTTCTTATTTTACAAACTGATCTCCCTTTAATTCAATAAGTGATTGTTTTACTTTGTGCGTATTTTGTACATACCCCCCATACACACTGAATAACAAATATTCACATTCAGCCACGGACGATCTCCGATATAACCCAGAAAAATCATGCCAATGGTTTGCGCAATGCCAATAATCGAAATCAAATGGGCGGAGTCTGCTGCTTCGTAACCGTGAATTTTCATATATTCCGGCAGATATAGATAGGGTATAATGAACCTGAGAGCGAGAGAAAGAGATAGAAAGATTAAAATCAAATATTTATAATTGAAAGTTATTTATTTTATTTCACTTACCAAATGAACAAAAATAATGTGGCTAAATTAAATAATGAGAATTTAATATCCGCAAATAATGAAAAATCAAATGAAGTCTTTAGCGCATCTATTACAGCGTCGTACCAAGTCTGAAAAGGAGAGAAAATAAATTAGAAATTCAGTAAAAATTATTCTGGTACATATTTATATAAAATCTTAAATTTTATTTAACGCATACATTTTTGATATGGTTTGGTATTTATTTAAAAACTGTTGGTGAAATAAAAATATGAGAAAAAAACTCAAGCCAGGCAGCCGAAAATATTTATAAAAGATGCTCCGCGGTGTGGAAGGCCAGTTGTCGAAAATTTCGATAAAGTAAGGAAACTCCGACGAGTTAGTCTGTTTCGATTTCCGAGGAGCTAAGCATTGCGTAAAAAGCAGTTTGAAAACACTTGAAAAAGTCTGGGCATAGAGAAACTCGATATATAGGGGCCACATTTCTTATTAACCTCATGGACTGAATTACCATCCGCGAATCACTCAGAATCCTAAAAAAATCGATCCATTTCTGAAACGGCTGGTGACTGAGGATGAAATTCGTGAGATTGGCAAAGAATTATCAACTATGAGCTGCTCCCTTACGGCCAAACTCTTAATTCTAAGCTGTACAGCCAGTAATTGGACTGTCTGAAGGAAGCAATCGCTCAGAGGCGCTCAGCTTTAGCTAACTGGTGGGGAATGGTGTTTCATCGGGACAAAGCCTCGACCATATCCATGGATAGTGACTCGCCGAGAGCTTGGCACGGCGCATTGTCGTGATGAAAGATCCAGTTACGTGCGATGTCTGGGCGCACCCCGTAAACCCGTTTTCGGAATCTTTCGAGTACTTGGCGATAGTAGACTTTATTTGCGGTTTGCTCCGGTGGAAGAAATTCTTTGAGGACGATTCCACGACTATAAAAGAAGGAAATTTTTACTATTTTCGTGACTAGCCCCACGAACACATGTTTACCCAACACGACACATCAGGCGAGCTGAACAAGCTAGAGAGATGGCAGACAAATGGAGAGGAGAAGTAGGGCGGGAGAAGGGAAAGAGAATTTCAAGTTCGCAGGGTTACCACAATAATTTTAGTAGTTGAGTGTGAGTAGTATAGAGTCAATTCTACAATTGAAATGAGATATATTTGAGATTTTGGTAAGCAAGGCGCGGTTCAAATCCTGGTACGACCAACATTCATTTAATTTAAATAAAAAATTGAGCTAATTTTTCTGATTGCGTTGGAGGAGGAGCTCAGCCGAAATCGCTTAAGCGGTTGCAAAGAGCCAATTTCCGAGGTATTTCTTCATCAATAAATTTCTTGTCCTCTTCAAAGCATTTTTTGGTATCGTCAATAATTCCTATTTCGATTGGTCTTTTATCTCCACAATCGCAGCAAAACGCCTTCCTTTCATCGGTGGCTTCAGTTTTGGGAAGAGACTAAAGTTAGCGGTGGCAAGTCCGGTGAATACGGTGGTTGAGGTATGATAACGGTTTTGTTTTTTTGCCAAAAACTCACGCACAAGCATCGCATAACTTCTCGGTAGTATTCCTTATTGACCGTACGATCTTGTGGCAAGAATTCATGATGCACCACGCCATTCCAGTAGAAGAAGTGTGAGCGAAACCTTCACATTTGACCGAACGTCAAGGTGCGTTTTCGGTCTTGGCTCTTCTGGTTATACGACAATTGAGCTTGTGTTCTGCTCATAGCTGACTCGCCAAACGCCACAGTCAATATTTCAAATGTCCATTTTTTACACAAAGAAACTGTATTAAGTTCTTTGATCAATTTTTTTTGGATAGTAAAAAATCGAAGAGCACACCAAATCACGTCTAACCTTTTTATCTGTCAAAAACAAACTGCAAATCAACCGATTGGCTGTTATTGCCAACATATATAACAGAAAACAAAGCGAAAATTGAACATAACGAATATTTTGTGATCACACCGCGTATATATTATATTTATATATGTATGCACATATGTATGAAAATATTGCTGATTTTTATTTAACCATTCCATCATCAACCAAACGAGCTCTGGACACTCTGTAGGGATCCTCATCGCAGCTCATGATACAGCACAAAAAAAGTGTGTCCTCTTATTTGCAATCTTTGCACTCTTTGTAACAATATTTACATAAAGACAATGTTAATATATTTTATGCCTGTATGTATGTATGTATTTTCATGATTATATTTGTCAACATTTATTGAAGCGAGTGTGTTTGAAATTTAATTATAAAACAATTTTAGCGCACGCTATCAAGTCATATAATATGAGCGAGTAACAGTCGGTTGTATTATGTGTATTCTGTTCAAAAAGTATCTGAACTTGAATATATTAGTAAATATCTTTGACGTATCTAAAGGCGGATGCGTTTCTCAGATCAGAATTTGTGATGCCGAAAAGAGGGAAAGACCTACCACTCCCAGCCGTTCGATACCAAACGGGGTTTCAGATAAGGAGTTGACCTACACCACTGTGTTGCCAACAATACGAAAATTAAATCCCTCCGGCCGTGCGCACTTCAGTACATTTATTATACTTTCATTTTATTTTCATTGTTCTGGCAGCGTGCTAATGATTTTTTTTAAATTTTTTTTTGCCTTTTTAAAAGATTAGGGAGGTACTTTGTTTTTCTGGCTCACCCTATTGTATGCACGCAATCGTACTTAAACTTTACTTAGTATTCAAATTGCTTACATACATACATAATTGGTACTTAAGCGACTGATAAGACACTTTCACTGGCACATCACTATCGACTTATTCTAATTTACTTAGCAGCGAATAAGCGCTCATTATCTCAAAACTATTAGAACGAGACGTGTTTATAGTTTAATTAATCAGTCATATCAGCAACTGCTTGTTTGAAAGAGGGTAGAAAAAAATGTAAAAGATTTTGAAAAACGGACTTCAGTTCTGCGGCTAGTCCATTAAAAAAAAAAAACACACAGACACACAAATTTAGTAAGGATTACTTAATAATAGTAATAATAATAATCATAAAGGAAGTATTTCAATATTTTTTATGAGTTAATTTTTGCTAAAAGCATAATTTTTTATATTTTTCAGATTTTTTGGAGTTCAAAAATTTGATTTTTTTTTTCGAAATTTACATTTAGCTATCAAAATATTAGAAAACTATGAAATAATTGTTTGTGTAAGTCTATCTATAGTTTTTCGTTTGAGAACTTGACATTAATATGAAATATTTTTAGTTTGGGCCTCCTTCTAAGTAGTTCATGTTCCGCATGGGATCGATCAATTCGATATTCTGTTTTTATAATGTTTAATTCAATCTTTCTTATTTGGAAACTAACAATACAGCTACAGTTTTTTCTAAGCCGCTACCGAACGGATGATGGATTTTTATGAGGATGTTTTTATTTCATCTTATAAATACTACACTCGTAAGGGTCGATATTCTCTACCAAGGTGGTTGTTGGTTAGACCAGAGTTCGAACGTTTCCTTACGACCTTGCGAATATTAGTGCGTAATGCTAACCTTTCGGTTAACGGTGCCGCAAACAATCCTTATTACTTTTCTCCTTTTCTCCGTCTCAACTAGTAAGCCCTGAATACCCCTTGTAAGTGCCATGGAAAATGGCAAAGATATATACGAATAAGTATGATCGATCAACAGGATCCACGACCGTAGAAGTCAAGTAGTTTACAGTGCGTGTCATTACGAGAGAGCTCAGGAATTCAAATCCTGGCCAGATCATCGTTAAGCTATATAGAAAACTTTGAATTCTGGTCGTTCTTCGGCAGGGAATATCAACCCTTCCAAATGTACTTCCGACAAGAGATACGAAGCCACTCCAAAAAAAAAAAATCTTCCGCGAAATCGAAGCCGCCATTGCAAATTACAGGGCCACACAATCGAAAAACAGACAGAACAGAATGGGCTACTGTAAAAGGCAAGCCAAAGGAGTTCAATGAATGTAGTGACTTTCCATTAGTAACCGGAATGTTAAGACATTTCGTAATAAAAACGTTCCTTGCACACTTTAGTGTTTGACTGATTTAGTACTGTTTGAGCGTGCGTCAAAGATTGTTACTTGCAAAGAGAAAATACGCTATATTAGGTCAATCACTTGGTGCCAGATCCGGACTATAAGGTGGGTACATTAGGACCTTCCATCCGAGCCCCTGGAACTTCTGGCGCGTCACAAAAGACGTGTGTGGCCGAAGAGGGCCGAATTGAGCGTTTGGCCATAGGGGACCAACTCGTAGTAGATGATTTCTTGCCAATTCCACCAAACACACAGCAAAACCTTCCTGGCTGTCAATCCGGTTTTAGCCATCGTCGGGGCCGCTTTCCCAAGCTTTGACCAAGACCGTTTGCGCTCGATGTTATCGTAAGTGACCCATTTTTCATCGCCAGTCACTATCCGATTCAGAAACGGATCGATTTTGTTGCGATTCAGCAGCGATTCGCAGATGGAAATTCGGTCCTTCATGTTTTTTTGCATTAGTTCGTGTGGCACCCAAACATCGAGCGTCTTTTTGAATCCAAGGATATGCAAATGGTTGCAAACGGTTTTCTGGCTTATCTTTAGCTCCTCAGCAATTAAATTTGTGCTCACATGACGTAATTTTCGACGACAGGTCTCCCGACGCTTGGTAAATCTTTGACATCGAAATTACCGGAACGGAACCCAGCACAAGACCTTTTTGCCACACGTTCGTTTACAGTATCGGGCCCATAAACTAAATTAATTTTTTCAGCCGCTTTGGCTGCTTTTTCGCCCTTACCGAGGAAAAATTGTAAAATATAGCGAATTTTCTCTTTGCTGGTGTCCATCTTTGACGAGCGCTCACAACGTACTGAGTCAATCAATCGAAAAACTGCCAAAGACAAACTTTTAGCGCGAATAAAAACGTTTTCAGCGCCGTATAGTATGACATGATGCAACACGTACATCTTAGATAAAACCAAACGAACTTCTTACTATACTAATACTTTACAGCGATGCTACTTATACAGACGACACCGCAATACTTTCTTTATCTTTTTTTGCAATCGAGGCTGCAGAAATTGTACAAAGACAATTGAATGAACTACAAAACAAATATGGCTTAACAAATGGAACATTTCGGTAAATACTCCAAAGTCTGTCCATGTCACCTTCACACTTAGGAGAGAAGAGTTCCCAAACCTCCGTCTCAATCAAACCGTAATTCCTAGATCGAGCAGTGCTAAGTATGTCGGACTTCACTCAGATAAAGATTAACTTGGTCTGAACATATTAGAGTCAAAAGAAAGCATTGCTTGGTCCCAAATTTAAACTCAGCGTTGAAAATAAAATACTTCTTTATAAAACGGTGTTGAAACCACTGTGGACTTACGGGTTTCTGCGAGTAGAGCTAGGATAGATTGGATACAGAAACTTCAATCAAAAACCCTTCGTTTAATAGCGAATGCACCGAGGTACATAAAAAATATCCATTTACATACAATAAAGATAAACACCCATAGTTATAGACAAAAAAAAAAGCTTCAGCGGCAGATATATTGAAAAACTTAACAACCATCCCAACAGACAAGTCATCAACCTGTTGGACAGTAGCGAGAAAGTACGAAGACTAAAACGACAGCACCCTCGAGACTTGCCATGCAGATTTTAATATTGAAAAAAAATATATATATATACCTAGATAAATTCATTAAAAAAAGTTTTTACAGCATTTATATCCCTTCTACAGTTAATCATGCACAATTTCAGTTTCATTTTGGGCATTTTGATGCAAAAGATGCTTCACGGAGAGGAAGATCAATTGTTTTAAATGTCGATAAAATCATGAATATTGTCGAGTCCAACCGAAATTCGAAATTTAGGGGTTTATTGTGAAAAAATGATTTTAATCGTCTGGAAACGGTTGCTTGATCAACTCCTAATACTTTTGAAAGTTCTTTTCGCGTCTGGCATGCATATGCGCCGAGCAATGTCTCCAATTCTTCGTCTGGAAATTTTTTTGGCTGTCGCCTAAGTCGAAATTGCCACTTTCAAACCGTGCAAACCACTTTTGACTAAATCATGGTCACCATAAACGTCCAGTAAAATACGATGCCTTTCGATAGCACTTCTCTTCCTGTTAAAGTAAGGAAGAAGAACTCCGAGCAAAAATACTTTATCTGGTACAAATTTCGACATTTTCAAATGAATGAAATAAATTGTTGTTCGCGCTAAAACAAATGACATCCGCAGAAAACGACGCGAAATGACAGTACCTTTGAAATGACATGAATATAGCCACAGATGAACACGACGCGAAATAATAAATACTAGTAGAGCCCTCTCTTAGAAAATCGCACGAACTAATGCACACACCCAATATAAGCACTGCTTCGTTTACCACCAAGAGCTAAAGATTGCACAAAAACCGTTTGGAACCATTTGAATGAATAAGGCTCTATGCGAAAAGTACAATTAAAGTCTTCGATTTCATGATAAAATAATGGATTTCTTTTTACTACACCCAAAAAAATAAGAACATTGCCAAATATTAATGCACCTTTTTTCATAACTATTTTAAAATACATAAAACATTTTTTCTGGAACACCACAGTCTCAGCTCATAAGCTATCCAGGACATTAAACACACCGAAAATCTAGGTTTAATAAATCCGTTCTTCTGGAGTTTGTTTGCTATGGTAGTTCTTACGGCATTTATTTACAACACGGATTTGATCGTTTTACTGCTCACAACATCCAACAAGCCGAGGCCGAGCCTGTAAGTTCGAATGGTGCGTTAAGGTCGCACGGGGCCTTGGTCCCAGCTTTTCGTTTGCCGTTTGCCGTTTCAAATATCTATGTGCTGAAAAGCGTCGTGGAATCATCAGCTAAGAAGCTGTATTTAGAAAATTTTAAATTTTTTTAAATTTAAATATGTATCGGGGCTCAGCCAATATATTGAATGTACTTGTAAGAGAGAACGTTTTTATGTTTGCCACCCGGGTTCGAAGAGTGAAATATGGAAAAAATCGGAAATCGTACCTTTACCAAGCAAAGAAAACCGGCGACCATAACGTAAAACTAATTTCCGGGCGTAATGACAAATGATACAGTTAAATTAAACAAGGCCGTGAAGCTATTGGTCACGACCCCTGACTGGGCAGGAGCATCGCCAGAATTTATCCAAAAAGTTGAAAATAATAGCTCTTGACTATGTGTATTTTGGAACCTCGGTATTGAATAGAAGAATAATGCATTGAATTAAATTCTTATTGGAGACGAAACTTGCGTTCACCACTATGAATCTGTGTTGAAACAAGACTCCATGCAGTGGCATAACAAGTTCCCAACGCCTCCCAAGAAGTTCAAGGTGACACAGTGTGCTAGAAAACGCTCTCTGAAATACCGAAGGAATATTATTGATCGATTATAGATAAAGATTTTTATAACTGAAGAACATTTTGCTTCAACATTGGAGTGACTAGAAAAATCCATTTAGAAGAAATGACGTGGAAAACTGATGAAAGGTGTGCTGCTTTTGCACGGCAAGAACCGCGTTGTGTTGGCTGCCCTGTATAAGATGTGCTTCGATATTTGGAATCACCCACCCAACATTTTAGGCCTGACCCCGAGTGATTATTGCCTGCTTCCAAAAATGTATTAGGCGTAAAGAACTCAATTCCGAGAGAGAAGTCAAGGAAGCAGTTGCGGTGTATTTTGAAGACAATGAGAAACAATGAGATCTGTAAAATGTATCCGTCTTGCTGGTAAATATAGTGAAAAGAAAAATGTTATGGCTTTTTATTGCCAACCCTTATCCCCTTTCCGCGAACACAAAAATGCTACTTGATAAATAAGTGTATACACAGATAAGCTGGACAGGTTCCACTGCTGGATTCTGGAACTCACCGAAATCCATAGAGGTTGGGAACTTTTACAATTTTTGTACTCACATTTTTAGTCACTTTCGGCAGCGCCGCCAATGGATTCCTAGGGATATTCGGACATGAGTTAGTGCGATGCCGATACGGGCTCAACAGTGCGCTACGCTCGCGGGAAATTGTGCGATGCATTTGGACATTCTTCTGGGTGTTTGCGGGCGGCAGCGAGCCGGTTTGTTGGAAATGTGAGCTCTGACTACGAGCTACCAACTTTGTGGACTTGCTATTCGAGCGTATATATTTCCTTTTTTCATTGTTTGCTGTACTTTCCGGCATCGGAGTTTGTGTCGTGGAATTATTTTGTTTAACTAAATTATCTTGCACTTGTATGGCGATATCATTTTTATTTGTTTGTTGAGTAGTATCACAGTTTAATTTGTCTAAATTGCCGGTTGATGAAACCAGCTCATGCGCCGGTACTTCATCTTCATCGGCATCTTGTGATGAGCGTCTACTGTTACTGTTCGTCTCATAAATACAGTCTAGATTCTGCGAACCCAAAAAGGTTGGAAAGAACATTTCGCTACGCAAGCGTTTTATATCATTTTTGCCAGCCCTGTTTAGTGGCGGATGTGCCTGGGCCACCAGCGACTCCAAAACGGCTTCCTTGCTGGCGCCAGTGTCAAGCATTTTCCTTATATCTTCACGATTTACAATTGAATTGCGATATGTATCGGCAATATCTTCGGCCTCCTTCTCCAAGCGCTTCTCTTCAATCAGCCAATCGGGATCTCGCATCAGAGCGCCACTCACAGAAGTATTCAATATAGTGCCCGCTAGTATAAGTGTAGCAATACGCCAGCCATAACTATCGATTAGAGATTGAGTTAGCGGTGCATATAAGATGGTACCAATGCCGGTGCCCGACGCTGCTATACCCGTCGCGAATGTACGCTTTTTATCGAACCAAAAAGCGATTGATACCACAGCTGTTACAAAACTTATGCCCAGACCCAGACCTGAGATGATGCCAAAAGTTAACATCAACATCTCCACTGAATTACACATTGACGACAGTGCGAAGCCGGTGGCTGATAATATGCCGCCGAAAATTGTCATTCTACGACAACCATACCGATCAACGAGATTCGACCATATTGGGCCCATTAAGAGCGGCACCGAAAAGAACAATGAACTAATCCATGCTGTCTTCGCCGCCGACTCGCCGAAATATGTCAATAATTCTGAATTAATCAAACCGAATGAGAAACCCAAACCGTCAGCGATGAGCGAGACTACAAGTGAGGCGCACACGACAACCCAACCGTAACCGCCGTCCGGTATTAATGGTTTATTTTTAGTGTCTGTACTAGAACCCGAACTAATTGTTTCACCCGATTCGTTTGCGATAAGACAATTCGGCTGGGGCACGTCACTAAGTTCAGTCGCAGCGTATGCGCTTCCTTTGGTGTTGGATGTTGTGGCGACGGCGTTTGTTTTGCCGGTCAAGCGGTCATTGCCATCGTCGACAGTGATTAGACAATGGCGCTCGGTGCTTTCACCAACGGTGGAGGGCAGAGAGTTGCCAAAATTCGACGCAGCATTTAAGTTATTTGGGTTGGATTTAGTACCCGTTGTTGTTGTATTGCTATTGTTATTATTATTTGGCGTAATTAGTGTCATGGTGGTTTCGATTTCGCTTGGTTCCGCAAGTTCACTTTTCGGTTTACCCTTAGCGTTCGTTGATTTCACAACCATTTTAAGCGGCTCTCACAGCGAGAGCTTGAGTTAGATTTGATGGTACACTACTTTTTGAGCTGTGGCTTCTATCTATTGTACATTCAGATGAATTGTAGTTTTTTTCTTTTTAAGGTGCTTTCGGGTTGAGCACAAAATATTCTCGCTTATTGGACGCACTTTTCACTACACAAAAATATCCTCAATGAAATATTCCAAAATATGGAAGCAACACGCTGGTTATGCCGTCATATTTATTTTCAACTTCAAAAAGTTTTATCATTTTTTCACAATCATTTATTGTTTTCACGCGTCTTTAACGGAACGTCTGCGGCGCTCTGATTGCTCTGTTCGAACTCAGGCAAATCTTAAAACGGCAGAGAGAAAACTAAATTGCCAACCGCACAACTGACACTGTCCATCGCCTTGATGCGACTGTAGAGGCTTGGACGATAACCGAGCTTGTGTAGTCTATTGTTCGTGAATGTGCGCGTCCATTGAAGATGCAGATTTTGTACTGAGCGCAGAGCGCGTTGTTGAAATTTAATTTATAGAAGTGAAGGTCTCGCTTAAATGCGAGTATCTTGAAGATTAACAAAACATTCGACCTGTATATACATACATATATACATACATGCAGTATATATATTAAGTTCATTGTATGTATATATATTTCATCTACAGAGTTTATTTAAATTTAAGATTTAATTAGTTGGTAAATTAATGACCGTTAGTTTGGAACTTGGGTTAACTGTTTTGAACTTACCTTTTTTGTAGATAAGCGATTGTTGATGAAGATCTTACTGATAAGCTTATTATATTGATTTGTTTATGTTTTCTTTTCTGCTCTTATTAACCGTAATCGTGTGCAATTGCGCTAATAATACAATCACAACAAAAACAAAATTAAATTAAACTTAAATTAGAAAACAAGTGAGCACGTGTTGCAGGTCGGTCAGGTTAGAGCAGTGTTCTGCGTACAGTTTTCCAGTTTTTCAGATGATTATAACCACTCAAAGAAATATAATGCTTGAAACGAATAATTACACCGTTAACATTCTGATCTTGATAATTCTGTCTATTTGGCACCAGTTTTCACACCCAAAGTGAGTGTACTGAGGACCTCACGGGCGCGGGGGATTTTGTTTTTTGCCGCGTTGACAAGACGGTAGTGTAGCCAGACTTTCCCTCTTTGAAACGAAACCGGTACGATGTCAATACGTTGCGGTATACCTGCTGCGCGACAATGCCAGACCACACACGACCAACGCCAATTAAAAGCAGCTCGTCTGATTTAGTACAGACTTTCATATTACTATCTTTTTACCTCACTGAAGTGGCACATGGGCGGAGAAAGCGTTTCAACCGACGCGAACGTAAGGAAGGATTTGGACAAATAGGCAAAGCAGTTGACGGAAAATGACTTCGAGGAAGGCAACAAAAAATTGATATCCGATTTCATTAACTGCTTGGTCTAGCGCAGATAGCTGACGTCAAAGTCATGGATCTAGTGAGGTTCATTAGGGTTTCAAAGTGGATGGATGATAAAACCTGATGGTTAAGTTTTTGTGGTATCACAATGGGTCTTGGTATGGGCTAGCCACTTAACCCGCCTCAATAGATTAATAGCAACTACAAACTAACCTCACCACCTTCATAGAGGCGACGATGTTGTAAAATAGCTTACCTTATGTACTAGACATACACAAACCTAGTAGACTTTCTTTCTGGACATGTCTCGCAGGTTTGGTTAAGTTAGAATTTGGCTGGCTATCATGCCATACATAGACCTACTAGTCTCTTGGAGATTCAGTTCATTCGAGCTGACAAAGTCGTCATATAGAAGGTCAACGATCTATCAACGGAAGATTAAGAGAACCTTGTTATCTTATTATGATACATTGTGTAGTTCTTTGAACAGCAACACTTTTGGTTAGCTAAGATGACGTCCAGATACGGCCGGATAGCAGCAGGGAAAGTGTTTCATACATGCCTTCCATTCAGCACGCATGTGATGTCAGTCATTTACGACTTGATACAAAGTTGAAATCTTCTTACCCACACAAAGCATGAGGGTATGCGGTTTCTTTCAGTAAATTAAGCTGGCAACGGCCAATCTAGCAGCTGACTTTGCTGCAAAGTTGACTGGCGATTCTAAGAGCCACTGCGTTCATTCCAATGAGTATCCTTCGTATACTCTAACCATTTCTGCGGTTGGTTTCTTCATTAGTCGAGTCGTCTTCAAGGAATTTGCTTCCTTGTTTAATTAAGCTGTGCAACCTATAAATCAGAGTTTTTCCCGGACTAGTGGCCCCGAAAACTAATGACATTTCATTCATTATGGTCGCAACTGATTTTCCTTGCTTGGTAGGGAACTTTATATCAGCATGATGTTGGATTTCTTTCCTATACCTAAATCCACTGACGGTCGCGCAGGCAATGTCAACCCCCCACTTTTGTGTTACAGTATCGGGTCCATTGACTAAATTAATTTTTTCAGCCGCTTTGGCTTCTTTTTCGTCTTGATCGAAAAAATTTTAAAATTTTGTGAATTTTCTCTTTGTTGGTGTCCATCATTGACGAGCGCTCACAACGTACTAAGTCAATCAATCGGAAAGCAAAGACAAACTTTTAGCGCGAATAAAACGTTTTCAGCGTCGTATAGGAGGACATGATACTATAGACAATAACACCATCTCTAAAAACCGAACGGACTTGTTACTAGACCGATTATATAACTCTGGAATATCAATATCAATAAAACCTCGTATTTATAATAATATAATAATTATGATCTTGATGAGTCTAATCACTCTCATTCCGCGTAGATAAAAACGATTGCTCGTGCTTTGAGTGAGAAGCGAAGCCAACCAGTTTAAGAAGTAACATGGATTTCAAAGCTTCAAAAACCTGATTTTTTATCTTATCTTATTAATTTTTGCAAGATCTCCAGAGTTATGCTGAATTCGATGCTAGTCGATTCGAAAATGAGTTTCGGGGATACATCCTTGGGAAGATGCGCTATCGGTCAGCGTTTTAAGCTTTCAACGAATTTTTCTCGAAATTTAGTTTTCAATGCGGGTTGTCAAATGTTCACGAACACCGCTTGAGCGCTCTTGAGGAAATTTCATACAGGTCTGCGGGCTACAACTCATGAGCAACATAAATATAAATATAAATATAAATATAAATATAAATATAAATATAAATATAAATATAAATATAAATATAAATATAAATATAAATATAAATATAAATAAAAATAAAAATATAAATATAAATATAAATATAAATATAAATATAAATATAAATATAAATATAAAAATAAAACTAAAAATGTGTTACCAAAATTTGCATTCTTTTTGTAAAAAAAAAAAATTGAAAAAAGTTTGATTTTCAATTTCTTTATTTGCGCTCTTCCACATTCCACTTTATGGTATGGACCAAAGCACGGCTTCCTCTTTTCGATGGCACCGTTATGAATATTTTCTTTTGAAAAGTTCTGAAATTTTTTCTTCCAATGTATATCTTTAATATTGTTAATAGTTTACATATAAAATTTTATTTTTTATATAAAAAAATTGTTGAAAAGATACTATTTTCCCATCTAATAAACCCTCCGCTGGTTTTGGATAAAAAAAATAGATTTTTTTACGCAAAAAATGAAAGAGATTTTGCAATACACGTACGTTGAATATTTTTCAAACGACAGTTTCTCGAAACCCTGTTTTCCGCAGCCCCGGGCTTGATCTATCCGTTCGATTTCTTCTATCTAAAAACTATTTCAAAGTAGTTTTTTTGTACGCCTTGCACCTATGATTAGTGTTAATAATTAATTATTTGTATTTTTTTAACGTAATTGAAGTGAAAAAATAGCACAAAATTTCACTTTGTAATTGCAATTAGCATTATGCCATAAGTTTTGTAGTTAAAATTGTTTCAATTGAGGTTCAGAGGGTTGAAACTTTCATGATCTTCAAGTAATGACAACGATTTTCGATTTCAGTCTACTACAAGAGGCTGCAGCCGCTTGAAGTTGTTGGTCATGTTTTTCGGGCAGAGGCCAACGGAAAGCACCATTTTGTAGCCGTCATTTTGAATTTCGATTATTTTTCCCCCCCCACCGGAAGTTGGTACGCCTTTTCATACACCCACGCAAAAATACAAATTTTGCCAGATTTTTGGGCAATATCAGTGGAGGATCCCTCTAAAGTATTTAGCGGTTGGGCGAGAGATGCTTTCATACATTTTTCCAATGAGCTCACCTTTTTTCATAATGGTTCATTATTTGAACTATAAATTTTAAATTTTACACTTTAAAGCAAATACGTTCTAAAAGTGTAGAATTTTCCTGGTGGAAAGTCCTAATATATAATGTTCAATTGAAAATAATTTTTAAAATTAAAATAATTTTTATCAAATCTGATTTTAAAATCTAGAAGTCAAGTCTCTTATGAAATTTTCCATTTTCTAATCAAGTATTTATAACCTATTTAACCTCTTATTTAATGATTTATTTCATATATTTTTTTTTTGATAGTAAAAAAATGGAAAGAAAATTATCTTAACTACTGAAAGTTTGAAACCTTTGCTCCAATATAGAAAAAAATTGTTTTTATTTTACAAAACGCGTAATACCGACATAATCAAGAAAATATAGAAATAATATACAAAAAAGAAAATATTTTTATTTAAATTTCTAAATTCGTTTGCAATTTGCATCCGTGTCTAAGTTGATTGACTTCTTTCGCCCACATTGTTCTTCCACACTCTTTCATTCGAAAAACTCTGCTGCCACAAAGCTTTTAAATACTGGTAGATCCTGCTCGTAGGCACATAACTTGAGATGAGGAGCACTAATCGATTTTTTGGGTATTTAAGTGCAAGCGTCGAAGAGTGATAAAATGTTGCCAGTTGTAACGGGATTAATTAAAATAATTGTTATAAGATTGCAAAAATTGGATTTGATTTTATTATCAGCCAACGAAATTCCCTCTTAAGAGTTTAGCTAGCGATTTGAAGATTATTTTGGGTTGTAGGAATAGAAATAAATTGTAGTTGATTTAAATATTACAAATAAATAATAAACTAAAAGTTTACTTAAAACAATAAAAAAAAAAAACAATAAAAAAATAATTAAATTACCTTTGCAGTTAATGGAGATAATTTATCAGTGGCAGATGTCCGTTAATGCACTCAAAAGATCCCTTTTGCTCAATGGAAGTAACATTTTGTTCTGTCTACTATCCACAATAATTATAGTTATAGGCCCCACCTTGGCAGAGCTCTGAGACCTTAAGTGTTCCTCTATCGTCCATTACTTTAAATTGCACTAATTAAAGGCGCTGAAAAGTCTGCGGTTGTTGATGGTGACAGCGTCACTAGCGCGAATTAGCTCTTCCACATTAATTGTAATTGCGTTCGATACCCGTGTGACCTGGCGCCCAATTGATATTCACTGTGTTTTACCGCGATAATCTCTTAATTGTCTCTAATCGCCGCATGACTGTCTAACGACAACCCGAGAAATCTTCGTTTTAAAGCGGTTCTTCATTTGGCTCCTTCAGTAATGTCACAATATAAAGTTGTAGCTACTAAGTTTGAAGTCA